CAGAGCGTGGCAGAAGTAGTGGGGCTAACCACAGCTGTTTCGGAGCTACACCAAGGTCTGTAGCTTTCCCTCTTTGATGTTGCATCCTGTCAGTAGTATACCTTGACTTCATGAATGTAAGGTCTGCATGATTGCCTGAAGGTTTTTCATGCCCAGTCTTCCTCCACCTTTTATCTTACACAGTAAATCTCTGGTACGCTTATCTTAACATCTCTTTTTCAGAGGATTCATCCATTACATACCACTCTGGTTATTTATCTAATTCCTCTGTAAATCACATTTGATATGAAGTTTTTGTTGTTGTTATTATTATTATTACATTGTGTGTAAAAAGCTTGTAGGAGTTGTCTCCTTCCACTATATGAGTCCTGGGAATGGAACAACATGGGTCATCAGGCTTGGCTAGTGCCTTAACCCACTGAGCCATCTCACTGGCCCCTGTAATGAAGAGTTCTCTTTTTAAGCTTCTTGATTTTGATTCGTCCTGGTATTTTATAGTGAACTGTCTCATTCTATCCCAGGTCTCTGCTTCTTCTGCAGTGTCCACTTATCTCAGTAAATGGCGCATTTACTCAGTTGCATTCATGTCTTTGTCTTTGACATATCAGTCCTTCACCCATCTTTTTTTAGGTGAGGGAGGGTAGTATCTGAGATAGGATCAGTTAAAAGAGGACAAGTCATTCTAGTAAGGAATAAATGATCCCTTATGTTATAAGGGATCAGATTCTGTAGAGCTTTTTTTGTTTGTTTGTTTTAAATAATAAGTCATTAAAAGACTATTGACTGGGTTTGACTCCCAGCACTTGGGAGACAGCAGCAGTCAAATCTTGATGAGTTGGAGGCCAACCAGGACTACATATATAACAAGAGCCAGTCTTTTTTTTTTTTTTTTTTTTCAAAAAAAAAAAAATTGAAGACTATCAAACACTTTGGCCTTTACTCAGGATGGGGTGTGTCTTAGTTACCTTCTATTGCTATGAGAAAAACACTGACCAAAATCAACTTGGGTAGGAAAGGGTTTGTTTGGCTTACAGCATAGTTCATCATCAATGGAAGCCAAAGCAGGAACTCAGGACAGGAACCTGGAGCACAGACCATGGAACAGTGCTAGCTTACTCCCCTCGCCTGTGCTTGGCCAGCTTTCTTATACAATACAGGACCACCTGCCCAGGGGTGGCACCACCTACAGTGGGCTGAGCCCTCCCACATCACTCAGCAATTAAGAAAATGCCCCTACAGACATGGTCACAGGCCAATCCAATGGAGTAAATTCCTCAGTTGAGATTCCCTCTACCCAGGTGGGTCAAGTTGACAACTAAAGCTATCTAGAACAAGGTACTATTGGAAGATTTTAAGATGTAATATAATGTGACTTGGTGGAGTTTTGTGTGAATGTTTGTGTGGTCTTTGGCACACAGGCCAGAGGAGAGTGTCAGATGTCCTGCTCTAACATTCTCCACTTTATTCCCTTGAGACAAGGTCTTTCTTTGAACTTTGGAGACCAACAAATCTGTCTCTGCCTAACCCCACCCCCATCTGTACCCCCTGCCCCCGCTCTAGGTTTATAGCCATGCAACCATACCTAGCTTTTTGCATGGGTTTATGGGGATTTGAATTCAGGTCCTCATGCTTGTGTAGTGGTGCTTTTACCACTGAATCATCCCCCATCCCTCATGGATTGTGAGTCTTTGTTTAAGTTCTGTGTTTAAGGCCTCTGTAGCCTTGACTAGTCTGGAAGTCATGATGTAGCCCAGGCTGGTCTCAGACTTGAATTGATCCTCCTGCCTCTGCCTCCCTAGTGCTGGTATTACAGATATGTGCTACATACTCAACTGCAATTTAGTTTTTCACCAGAAATATTCAGGTTATGTGTGAAGAACAGAATGAAGGCCAGAATGGTTGGCAACAGAGAGGCTAGTTTGGAGAATATTGTAGTGGTACAAGAGGTACAGACATAGATGTCCCTGTTTTTGATAGCTTCATAGATGTATGTAACAAGTTTTGGTCATTTTCTTTTTTTTTTAATATTTTTATTTTATGTCTATGAGTGTATTGCCTGTATGTACATAAGTGCACCCATGTCATGCAATGCCCACAGAGGACAGAAGAGGCTGTCAGATCCCCTGAACTGGAGTTACAGTTGTTAGCAGTCATGTGGGTGCTGGGATTCGAACCCAGGTCTTCTGCAAGAACAGCCAGTGTTCTTAACCACTGAGCCATCTCTCCAGCCTGGAGTTTTGGTCATTTTCACACACACCTCCCACTACTGTCTCCTTCATCCCCCTCTGCTGTTGAACCACTCTTGCCAACAAGCCCCCTCCTACTTTCATGTCTGGGGGGGTGGGGGTTACTCAAAAGACATAGATACCTTGTACCAAGCAGATTTGGTAGTGTGTAAAGAAAGAAACATCTGAATTCAAAACGGGTTAGTAAAAAAAGTTTAAGATTGATAATGCTTAACATTGGAGATAGAGAGGGGTAAGACCTTGCTGTTGGAAATGTAAGCGGGAGGCAATCTGTATATAACTGCTCTTTCTTGTTGTTGCTTATTTTATTATTTATGTATATGCCTGTGTGCGTGTACGTGTGTGTGTGTGTGCGTGCGCGCCTTTGGTAGTCCTCATATCCCCTGGAGCTGGGGTTGTCAAAATAGCAAGTGCTTTGAACTGTAGTCATCTCTCCAGCCCTTAATTACTCTTAATAAAAGGAATATTTAAATCCTGATGCATGCTGTCTATGTAATTGTTAAAATTAGTAGCCAGTTAATAGCTAAGGAAAAGCAACATATATATACTGCCATGGAAATAGCATCTCTGTATGTAGTTTTTTTCTGTTTGTTCTTAAAAATGGGGTGGGGGTTGGGAATTTACCTCAGTGGTAGAGCACTTGCCTAGCAAGTGCAAGGCCCTCCGTTTGGTCCTCAGATCAAAAACAAAACAAACAACAAAAAAAACCAGATGTGGTAGTACATGCCTGTCGTCCCAGCATCCAAGAAATAGAGGTTAGGGGATCAGAAGTTTAAGGTCATTCTCAACTACATGAGTTCAAAGGAACCTTTTTCTTTTTTTTTTTTTAATTTTTTTTAAATGTGTATGAGTGTATTGCCTACATGTATGTGAGTGCACCCGTATCGTGTGGAGGTCAGAAGAGGGCTTCGGATTCCCCTGGAACTGGTGTTAAGGATGGTTCGTAGCCACCATGTGGGCAAAAAAAACAAAACAAAGCAAAAAGTAGTACCAATATATCAATTGCTAGTACTTAATACTCTCAGTATTTGAATTATTTACTTATTTCGAGACGGTCTCTTAGCCCAGGCTATACTCAAACACGTATGTAGTTGAGGATAATCTTGAACTCTTGACTTCTTGCTTCTACATTTCAAATGTTGGGATTATAGGTATGCACCATTGTGCCTAAAACAAAGCAAAAAGTAGTACCAATATATCAATTGCTAGTACTTAATACTCTCAGTATTTGAATTATTTACTTATTTCGAGACGGTCTCTTAGCCCAGGCTATACTCAAACACGTATGTAGTTGAGGATAATCTTGAACTCTTGACTTCTTGCTTCTACATTTCAAATGTTGGGATTATAGGTATGCACCATTGTGCCTAGCTAATATGTGAATTTTTGTAAGATGTCTGCAAATTTTTATATGGCCCACCTAGAAAAGGTAGTGACTAATAATTTATTTACTTAATTTTTATTTTATGTGTATAAGTGTTTTGCCTGCATGTATGTAAGTGCATCACATGCATTCAGTGCTGGGGAGGCTAGGAAGAGGGTTTTGGATCCCCTGGAACTGTAGTTGCAGATGGTTATTAGCCACCGTGTGGGTGCTGGGAATTGAACCCAGGTCCTCTACAAGAACAAGCATCCTCTTTAACTGCTGAGCCATCTTTCTAGCCCCTTGACAGTAATTTTTGCAATGCCTATATTTTCTTCAATAATACTTATCTTGCATAGTATTACATTATTAACAGTCTTGTATATATTTGTTATAGAGATTTAAATGCTGTGAGTTATCCTAAAGTAAATTGTAAATGCCCTAGAGTTTCATTTAAGAAATAAACATGAAAATTTCATATATGTTCAGCATTTTATTAGGTAGATTGTATAAATGTGTAAAGTAGTTTTTATTCTTGACTATAGTCAAATAGATGGAGACATGAAATAAGTGATAAATACATGAGAAACCTGTTTGTCTGATTCTAGGAATTTTTCCTAAGGAAATAATTGGCAAACATGTAGTTATATATTATAATGTTCATGGCAGTGTTTATAATAGTGAAAATTTACATATAATCTAAGAGACCACCATAAATCACAATCAGAATAGTATGCAATGATTTCAAATACTTAACTCTGTAGTTATTATAGGTAAGACCCACAGTGCATTAGGAGAGGGGAAAACAAACATGTTTAAGCATTCTGTCTAATGTCCTCTCTATAGATGGCAAGAGTAGAACCAGGAGAAAAAGAAAGAAGCGTATTCGATTGGATAAGCAACGTACAGAAGACGACATTGAGATTAAGGACTCTTCATTTTTTCTCTATTCAGAGATAATTTCTTCAGTTTGACTAGTATACCATTTAAAGTGATTTTTACATAAACAGTATTTTATGTTAGCATAGTATAACACAGAACCTTATCAATCTTTGTTTTATGTACCCCAGAGTCAGTTTGGAATCATAGCAAGGTAACTTCCTAATCATTGGAACTGTTCAATGGCATCAAGTTTTAGACATTTGTGTCACTGTATGACCATTATCAGGGAAATATTTGTTCTTCTCTAATACCTTGAATTCCTGGACTTGATTTTATAGACCCCATGGGCAAAGTTCATCCTCTAATTTTGAGAGTGTGGTAATCCACAAAGTCAGGTGTACTTATATGTGCATATATGAGTGTATGTGTATGCAAATGATAAAATTGTATTTGTGTTTAAGAATGCTGTAATTCATTGTTTTTAAAATGTATGTTTTATTCCCACTTAGGCCGAATACACCAAGCAATGGTAACATCTTTAAATGAAGATAATGAAAGTGTAACTGTCGAATGGATAGAAAATGGAGATACAAAGGGCAAAGAGGTATGACTGCCAGCTTAAATATAATTTCTAGTCAAGATTCTGAGTGTAAAACAAAATTAGGAAACTATCATTTTGTATGGTGCATATACTCTGTATCATTCCTTGAAAAAATTTTGAAATGATTAAAAAACTTCACTCATCTCAAAAAGACCAAAAAAAAAATACTCAAAGGAGAATCTTCCTTTTCATAGGTCTTACGTGATTGTACTTATCAAGTTGTTCATTCACCAGCTCACAGAATTTCTAAGCTGCTATTTGTAACAATTGTGTAGTTTGGGTGGTAGCAATTCTTAAAATACAGTAGAAATTGTATGGATTATTGTTCTAAAGAGTCTAGTTTGCAGAGTATGATATACTTTAGGTTGAAATCATTTAAGAGTCATTTGCTTTATAAATTTATTTAAAAAAAAAAAACCTCTCAAGGTTCACACTTTTTAAACAGATTGACTTGGAAAGCATCTTTTCACTTAACCCGGACCTTGTACCTGATGAAGAGATTGAACCCAGTCCAGAAATACCTCCACCTTCAACATCCTCCTCCAAAGTAAACAAAATTGTAAAGGTTAGTGATAAAAATTTAGACCAGAGGGGGGTGTGTGTGTCCTGATTCAAAATTGGTAGGGTGTGAAGAATATGTGGAGTATATGTTCTTGAGTATTGATTTGTTTTTTAAAAGTTCTTTCCACTGTTTGTATCCATGTGTTTACACACATACCTTGATGAGTCCAGGTTGTCCAGCTGACAATTAATGATAATCATTAAATAAAATCATAGAAATTCCTTTCCTAGTTAGGAGGGGTTTTTTGTGAGAATAACTTAGGAAATATGAAACAGAACTATTTTCCTATTTCGTTGAGTGAATGCATATGACTGACAATAGCTGTTTATTACAAATAATATTCTAGTAATCTTTTGAAATTGTAATTCTGCTATGTATGTGAATATGAGAAATGGTAAGAGATAATTTAACTACATGTATATTATTGGTGAGGAGCAACTTTAAAGCAATGTTATATCCCCCTAGCAGCTTTATCTCTACAAAAGTTAAAGGCCTAGTGTTTTTATTGGTTTGGGTTTTTTTTAAATTTTTCATGTATATGAGCATTTTGCCTGCATGTGTATAAGTATACCACATGCATGTGCTGCCCATAGAGGTCAGAAGAGGGTGTCAGATCCTCCTGCAACTGGAGTTACAGATGGTTGTTAGCCTTCATATTATGGCATCTGCCCACCTTTTTAAAGAAATCACAAGTCATTTTACAAAGAAGCTGTCATATTTTGTATCACCATTAAGTCCTGTCTGAGCGTTGTGGTTCCTCTGAATCTTCATCTGCAAATGTAGTATTATAGACAACATCGCAAAGTGCTCTACTTTGTAAACTGTGTATGTGAACATAGTCACAGTATGTGAACTTCACTGGCATCTGCAAATGTAGTATCATAGACAGTATTGCAAAGTGGCTCTGCTTTGTAAATTCTGTATGTGAATATCAGTTCATACAACTTTAGTGTAGTGAGAATCACTGCTTAGAGATCCTTAGTGTGAATGAATTGTTTCCATATATAACTTCAAAGCCTTAATGGGTTGGCAGTTTTATCTACCCCTTCCCTAGCCCATGCTGAGATCAAGCCCACATATTTTCTGTTGCCCTGACATTCTACCACTGGGTTACATCCTCAGGCCTGTCTTGGTGTGCTGTTACCAACCTTTGCTTTGCATTAGAATCACTTGGCAAAATTTTTAAAATACTGATTTCTGGACCCCCTTCCTAGAGATACCACTATCCAAAAACAACCTAATCTGATGAAAATTTGCAACAGGCTCAAGTGTAACTGAATTATTTGTTTTGCTTTTTTTTAAAAAAGTGAATCCAGTGAAGTCTTAGTAACTAAATAATAGGATCAAAAGTTTGTTGCCTTAATCTATGTAGTGTCCAAGTTTTTGAAACTCTTAATGAAACCTTTTTAGTATAGTTGGCAGTGTTTTGTAATACTTTTGATATTTCACTTTAACAGAGGGGCTCTACTTAATTCTGTCCAGAGTTAATACTGTTAATTACCTCCTGAGATCCAAAGATAGAACATCCTACTAACCCCCAATCAAATTGAAAGTGCTCCAAAATCTGAAATTTTAAAGTACTTGTTTGTGTGTGTGTGTGTGTGTGTGTGTGTGTGTGTGTGCGCGCACACGCGCTACTCATGGGAGTTCAAAGAACAGCTTTCAGGGGTTAGTTCTCACCTCCTGCCTCAAGCAGGGTCCTTGTTCTGCTGTACTATGTACTCCAAACTAGCTCTGTGAGCTTCCAGGCAATTCTTCGGTCTCTGCGTCCCATCTCACTGCAGGAGTACTTGGATTACAGATGTGCTCCATCACATCTATTTTTTTGTGTAATCCAGGCATTGAACTCACATTGTCAGACTTATGCAGCAAGCACCTTTACCCACTGAACCACCTTGTCAGTCCCAAAATTCAAAATTTTTGAGACCCAACATCAGACCACAAGTGGGAAATTCCATACAAGACCTCATGTGATGAGTTGCAGTCAGAATGAGGTACATCAAAAAATAATACATAAAATTAGGCCAGGCATGGTTGTACACACCTCTAATCCTAGCACTTGGGCAGCAGAGGCAGACGGATCTCTTAAATTTAAGGCCAGCCAGGGCTATCTACTGAGACCCTGTCTCAAAAAGCTGAACTACAAATATATATAAAATTCAGGGGGTTGGGTACATGGCTAAGTGTGTAAGAGCACTTGCATCAAAAGCACAAGGACTTGAATTTAAATCTCCAGCACCTTGTAATAAACAAAGCAGGGGTGATGGGTTGTGTACACACCTGTAACCACAGCTCTGGGAGACAGAGACCAGAGGATCACTGGGGCTTGCTCAGACAGTCTAGTTCCAGGGTCAGTGAGAGACCCTGTTTTAAGGGAATAAGGAGATGATGACAACAGAATACCCATTGTATTTTTCTGGGCTCTGCACACCCCCACACGTGTGAATCTACCACACATGCATACACAATGATCTTGAGCCTATGTATATTTAAGGTATGTATGAACCATAGATGAATTTGCATTTAAACTTAGGTACCTTTCCCAAAATAATTAATTTAGACACAAGTGTGTGCGCACACGTGCATGTGATTAGATATTATTTAGATATTTCTAAACATGAAGAAATTTGAAACACGTCTGTTCATAAGCATTTCAGATAAGAGATATTCAGCCTGTACCTAGGTTTGGTAAGACAATGCTATATTGTAGTTATTTACCCTCACTTTACCGCAGTTTCTCATCTAAGAAATGGCAGTAGCAATAATACTTTCTCTGAGATCTGCTCTCATGGAAGTGGATCTATGATGAAAATAGCCAAATCTGAGCATCAGCAGACCTTCCATTCTGCTTTGATGCATGATTGCTATCGTTCTGAGAAGCAAAACTACAAAATAATTTGAAACATTGTGTCTAGGTGTGTGTGTGTGTGTGTGTGTGTGTGTGTGTGTGTGTGTTCATGTGATCATTTCTGAGCAAAGTACTACTGAACTTTGTTTATATGAAGGTTTTTACACTTGACCTGAGCTCAGAATTAAGAAAATAAAAAGTACTTCGTAGGGTTATATAAAAGCTAAATGAACAGGAACCTGAATGTTGATACGGTACTCACTTATTTGATTATTTGTAGTTTTTCTCCATTTACCTTCATTTTACCATTGCCTGTCTGCTTTCATTTAATTAAAAGAAGTTAAGACAGGGATATATGTGAGGAATAAAGAGAAAAAATAGAATGAACATAATTTTCTTCCATAGAATCGACGGACTGTGGCATCATCTATTAAGAATGACCCTCCTCCTCCAAGAGATAATAGAGGTAAAGCAAAACTTTGTCCTTAGTCTTGCCTTTCGACCTTTCTAGTATGGCCTTATTGAGGCATATCAAAAGTAAATATTACTCTTGATATTATTTGTTTAAACTTTACATGGCTAATTTTAAGATTGATATTTTCCTAATTTCCTAATAGAACAATGGCAGTAGTAATATTTCTTTAATTTAAAAAATATAAGCCAGGCATGGTGAGGCATGCCTGTAATTCCAGCACTAGGAATGCAGAGCCAAGGAGACTGAAGAGATGACTCCACAGTTAAGAGCACTGGCTGCTCTTGCAGAGGACCTGCGTTTGGTTACCCACATGACAGCTAACATCCATCTGTAACTCCAGTTCCAGGGAATCCGCTGCCCTCTTCTGACCTCTGCAAACATTGCACAACACAGATGCGCTTACATATGTGCAGGCGATATACTCATTCACATAAAATAAAAATAATTTTTCACCCCCTCCAAGGCTCAGGCACTTTTGTGGAAGAGGTTGGCAGAAAGAATATAAGAGCCAGAGGAAGGGGTGGAGTGTTAACTGGAAGTGTCCTCTGACCACTATGCCCGCAAGTTATAGTCGCACCTCCTTCCTGTGCTCTTCAAGTCGATGGGGGAGTCAGTTACTCCTCCCACCCAATCAGTCGACCTTAGCTGCATGTGGGGGAGGGGGCTAAGGATATATAAGTGGAGAATGCCATTAGGCACCTCTCACCATTTTGTGCAGCTGTCCAGAAGTCACAGGATCTATATTTGAGTGTGAAGCCATGAATGGGGAGTGGGGGGGGGCACTCGTCTGTAAATAAACCCCCACCCTATGCTCTGTTAGCAAGTCCAATAAACTTGTTAGGATTTGCAAAAGAGAAAAGAACAGAGCTAATGGAAACCTTCATTATTCCACCAAAGTTGACCCCACGTTGGCAAATCCTTTGATCTTTGATTTCTTATTCCTATTCCTCCCCCCCTTACACTTCATTATCTGCCTATTTTTTTATTTATATTTATTTATTTTGGAATTTTTGAGACAGTCTCCCTGTAGTCCCAGCTGGCCTGAAACTTGCTATGTAGACCAGGCTAGCCTCAAACTCACAGATATCAGCCTGCCTCTGCCTCCTGAGTACTGGGATTAAAGGTATGCGCCACTACACATATATATTGTATATATATTTTTATGTAACCTGCTTCAAGTTATTTCTGGAAAAATGTGTTAAAAGTTGCCTGTCTTTGGAATAATAAATAAATAAATTTTTTAAAAAGAAGGCAGAAGCAAGAAGATTCCCTACAAGTTGGAAGCACCCTTTCTCCAAAATAAAGAAACAAAACATTTAAAAAATGTAAGTGTAGCCAAGCGTGGTGGCCCACGCCTTTAATCCCAGCACTCAGGAGGCAGAGACAGGCGGATCTCTGTGAGTTCAAGGCCAGCCTGGTCTACATAGTGAGTTCCAGGACAGCTGGGGCTACAGGGAGACCCTGTCTCAAAAAGAAAAAAAATAATAATAATGTTATGTGAAGATTATAAACCTAACAAAATATGTAAGTTTTTATTCATCACAAATTTAACCATAATTTTCTAAGAGGCTTCCAAGAAATGGTTAGAGTCAGCAAAAGAAAATTCAAGTGCACATAAATTATAGTTGACGTCAAGTTTCATATACTTTCAGCCAGGATGTGTAGAATGTAGTGACTTTTTTACCATTAAGCAGTTTAGAATTATTGTATAATTACATTTCTCTTACTGCATGGATGGTAGTACAAGGTGAACCAGAAGCATCAGAGATTAGAAATAGAGGAGGAAAGAGGAGAGTGCTTCCTTCAAACACCACTCTTTGAGTTTTATTAGAATTTATTTTTCTTTAAAATTATATGTATATAGCCCAGATTGGTCTTGAACTCGATAGGCAGCAGAGAATGACCTTGAACTCCTGATTATCTTACTGCCCTCTCCCAAGTGTCGGAATTACAGGCCCGCACCAGCTCATACCCAGCTTTCTATTTATATTTAATTTCAAGATCCTTTTTCCATTTTTATAAAACATTTACAGTGGGGAACTAGTCTACTGAATATTTGCATATTGTTGAGAAAAGAATAGAATCTGGAATATAAAGAAGATTGAAAGTACTTTACAGGTTTGCTTTCTGTATATCTGAATAGTATAAATTTTTGAGAATGAATTTTGCACATATACTCTGAGGAAATATTTGTCTTTGCATTCTGAAACCATAAGACATGGGTTTCATGTACATGTTTCAAAAATGATTATTAAAAGTCAGTTTAACTTTGGTTTTTAGGTGAATGATTAGTTTTGTAGCCTGGTGTACACTGATGGAAATTAAATCTACACATAGCATTTTGTTTTTGTTTGTTGAGACAAGGTCTTACTGTATAGCCCTAGCTGGCTTGGAACTCACAGAGGTTCTCCTGCCTCTGTGTTCTGATGCAAATATTACTTTGAAAACTTCTTTTAGTTGAGTCAGTTTATTAAACAGAATTGAATGCTTTATAGACTATAGAAAAGCTTGGCAGTTTGCTAAATGCAGTTTATTTATTTAGTTTTTTTGAGGCAAGGTCTCACTATAACCTAGGCTTGCCTCATAATTTGTGTGTCTTCCAGCCTTATCCTACCAAGTGCTGGGATTATAGACATGAGCCACTATGCCTGGTTTAAGTGCAGTATATATGTATGTATGTATCAGATTTGTTTTTGAGGTGTCTGTTCCTTTTCCCATAGTTAGCTTTTATTAATTTTCTTTTCTGAATTAAAATTTTTTATAGTGGTTGGTTCAGCACGCGCACGGCCTAGTCAGCTTCCTGAACAGTCGTCCTCTACACAACAGAATGGTAGTGTTTCAGATATATCTCCAGTTCAAGCTGCAAAAAAGGAATTTGGACCCCCTTGTATGTAAATCATGTATCAAGGATTTAGTCATTTTAGGCATACATGTATTCTCTTTGGTCATCCTTTTAAGTTTCCAAATGGTAAACAGTTTAATTACAAATTTGGCTACAGAGTTCATTTTACCAACAAATTTCAAATTTTTTGTAGTACTTTGTTCTATTAATTGGTTTTTAAAATGTATTTTGGAGAATAAAATTTTTCATGCAGTTATAACAATGATTCACTTTTGAATTTAAAATTCTGGCTAGGTGATAATTTTTTTAATGTTCTGGAACAAAGTTATATACTAATTAGTTTTTTCAATGCAAAAGCCTATTATGCAAAACCAAGAGATGACATGTATCCATGTGTTTGAGTCACTTTTCTTGACTCATCTGTATATTGTCCTGTTCCTAGTTTTGTTAAAGCAGCTCGTAAGTGAAGTTCAACTAGCTGTAATAGGCATGCTTTATCACTGTGAATCTTTTTATGTGTATGTGCTGAAATTAGTCATAAAATTTATGTTAAGTATAATACTCTAAAAAAGAAAACTATGCTTTTACAACTCATCTTTTTCTTTTAGCACGTAGAAAGTCTAATTGTGTGAAAGAAGTAGAAAAATTACAAGAAAAACGAGAAAAAAGGCGATTGCAACAGCAAGAACTTAGAGAAAAAAGAGCCCAGGTTTGTAACATAAACTTGTGTATTTTTTTTCTGGACATTGGTTATATTACAACAATGAAGATAGTTGACTTAAAAAACTTGAAGAATTCCTTAAATTGATACTGAAAAATATTTAAAATGTTGTGAAAACAAATTACTGTGACAGATTTTTATTAGTTTGTTCTATCTTGAGTAGTAAGCAGTTGTATGTAGAATTCTAAAGTGCCTATTGTAACATTGAAAAATCGTAGGCTTTTGATTTAGAAACAGTTAAAAATAAAGATTTGGAAAAGTGCCTCAGTAAGTATGATTATAAGAATAAAGTTTACTATTGTTTTACCATGATTAAATTCAGCATAGCATAGTGAAAAGAGAAATAATTTTGTGTTTTGATTTATACTAGATACTGAGAATGGGTCTCTATTGTGTTCCTCTTTTGTTCTCTGTAGATGATAAGTCTATTTAATAACTCAAATTTGCATAGACAACTATCTTTACATATTAGAAATTTTGTTACTATTCTAATCAATTGTATGTATTGTTTCTATTTAATCTCAGAATTTGTTTCCTATAAAAATGCCATCAATTTATTTCATAGTATCTTCAAATGTCCTTAATTATGTTAGGCTTACCAGTTCGTATGTTGTGTTTTGGAATTGTAAGCCCAATATGCAACTTGAATAAATCAGAAAGTTACTTGAGAATATCTAGATGAAATAAATAAAGTCAGGCATGGTGGACCACATCTCTACTCCCAGCACTTGACAGGTAAAGGCAGGAGGATACGAAGTATCTCAGCTGCGGAGCAAGTTTGAGGCAAGCCTAGCCAACCTGAGACCCTGACTCCAAGGCCAAACAAGTACACAAAACACATTTACTTACACTCAGCATAGATGCCACCTGGTGTTTCCTGTAGGTACTGCCTAATTCTTAAATATCTTTCTAAGATCTCGTAACTCACACTTCACATTCTGCTTCTCAGCTGACATAAATGATACTCTTTTCTAAAAGATGAGTTGAAAATAAATCTCAGTAACAGTTTTGACATTTCTCTTCCAAGCAGTCTGAATATCATGAATGAAAAATATCTGACTTGAATATTAATTTATTATTTGTGGCTAAGGAGGCTGTTGACTGTTGCTGTTTATAACTTAATCAGAACTTTGACAGTATTGAAGAAAAAAAGTAAATTGCAGTCAGCATTCAATACTTTGAATTTTTTTTAAGTTTTAAAAAATTCTCTTGATTTTGAACTGGGTGTTATGGCACACCCTCCCAGTTTTTGGAAGGTGGAGGCAGGAGGATTGGGAGATAGAGGTCAGCCTGGGCTACATGAGACCCTAACTCCAAAAAATAAAGCACACAGATTATGTTGGCTTGTGCTTTCTCAGTTCTGTGTTATATTGCTTTTTGGTTGTTTTTGGTCAACAAAAGATAAATGAACATCAGTGGATCCATGTTATTTTACTGAATGCTAGATAAAACAAATCTAAAGAAATTGAATGTGGAATTCATTTTCCTAAGAATTTCAGCTTTTCCAAAGTTCTTTGCTAGTGTTCTAGAGTACTCTTCCTCTTGCTACATTTTCTGAGATAAGTAAATGTATATAAATGATTTTTGAAATAGCTCAATGGTAGTTTTAATGGAGAATCCTTGGAATTTGTTCTCAGGTTACATGTAGACTAACAGAATTGTAGTGGGTTTTGTTTTTGTTTTTGTTTTGTTTTGAGACGGGGTCTCATTTTGTAACCCTGGCTGGCCAGGAACACTTATCTATAGACCAGGCTAACCTTGTACACAAGAAGCCTTGCCTGACTCTGCCTCACAAGTGCTGAGATTAAGGATGTGCACTACCATGCCCAGCCAGCGTTGTGTTTTTTGTATGAAAGTGATTTTGAACACATTAAACTTGAACTTGGAAACTGTATCACATTTTTAGTTTGAGTTTGGTTGTAACAAATGGTACTGTATTGATTGAAATTTTGAACCACAAGTGTAAGTGGCAAATCCTCTGTTTTCTAATAGGATGTTGATGCTACAAATCCAAATTATGAAATTATGTGTATGATCAGGGACTTCAGAGGAAGTTTGGATTACAGACCATTAACAACAGCAGACCCTGTAAGGTTCTTTTCTTTTTAGTATTGCTCTAGAACTGTAATACTGTAAGAAAGTTCACACTTAATAAATTCATACTATATTCAGCCTGTACGTTTTTTTTCTTTCCTTATGGGGTTTATTCCCCAGTTTCAGAAGAAAATCAAGAAATACCTACTTTGCTTATCTTAAATAATTTTGAATATTAAAGATTCTGCTCACATAAGTGTTCTTCACAAGCAAATCCTTCTTGTATTAGAATGGCAGAGCAACAAGTAGAAGAGTAACATGAAGAGACCTAGTTTCCTTACTGACCTTCACTTAGGCTTTGATCTCAGTTCTGAGCCTACTTCATCTTTGCTTTGGACTGTATCCTACCATCATTCTAATTTTTTATTAATGTTTTTTTAATTATTCATTTAATAACCACATAATTAGAAGAAGCATTTCATGAGAACAGCAATTGACATATTCAATAACAATTTCCAGAGCTAAGATGCATCTGTTTCAAGATTGGCTGTACATTTTTAGGTTTACAGTTGAATTAATACAGTTATACAATATTGTACTCAGTATAAACCCTTTAAGATATAAAATTAAATGAGGTTTCAACCTTTAAAAAAGATCTCCATTTCATTATTAAAATACAGTTTCATATGGAAAAATTCATTTTTAATGCAACTGACACTAAGATGTTTGCACATGCGCTTCTAATCTCTGATTATTACTAGTCACAGTCAATTACTTTCTGAGCTCCTTGGCATCTGAGCATGGATATAAAGTCATCAGGTAGATTTCAATGGTAATGTTTTTCACATCTACTAATTATTAAGGAGCAAATTTTTATGCTTTGAAGAATTTTTTTTAATTTTTTAAAAAATTTAATAACCACATGATTAGAAGAAGCATTTCATTACAGCTTTAACATATTCAGTAACACACTCTAGAGCAAGGATACATCTCTTTCAAAAGTGGCTGTAAATTTTTAGGTTCACAGTTGAATTAATACGGTTATACAATATTGAACTCAGTATAGACCCTGTAAGATATAAAATTGAATGAGTTTTAACCCTTTAAAGAAGATCTCCATTTCAAGATACGCTGTTTCCTACATCTTTTATTTTTAGAAGCATATCATTACAACTTTAACATGCTCAATAACAGTTTCCAGAGGAAAGATACAGCTCCTTCAAAAGTGGCTATAAAATTTCTAGGTTCGCTGTTGAATCAATACAGTTATACAATATTTAATGTTTTATTTTTAAATAAATGACCTTAGTAAGAAGTAATGGTTCCTAAGGGTTGCAGTAGACCAGAATTCCAGTGCTGAAAAATAGTTTCATTACCTGCCCAAGTATGAAAATACTTTTGTAAATACAGTACTTAGGAAAAATAATCCATCTGATCTAACATACATAGTATCTTGTTACAGGAATATTTGCATTAGGCTGATGTGTTATAGAATCTGATAGAATTGTTACCTATAAACTCATATCCCCATATATTTTAGGCCTTGCCACACCTTCAGGTGTTTCACCTTCTGCACCTAGGTTCATATTTTAAAATTAGGGAAATTGGTAAACTTTTTGAAATGGGTCTGATGGTAGAAAATGATTTATTTCAAGATAGAATGTATTGAATATAATTTGATTTTTTTTTAATGTACATAAGAATTGTCATTCATGGGGCAGCAGAGATGGCTCAGTGATTAAGACACACACTGCTCTTGTAGAGGACTCAAGTTTGGTTCCCAAGGTTCCTAGCACCCATGTCAGGGAGATCTAATGCCTGTGATTCCCATGAGCATTTGTACTCACCTTCACTTAACACTCACAGGCACATATCTATACATGGGCATCACACATTTAATTAAAAATAAATCTTTGGGAAGGGGGAAGAAATTGTCTTTCATTCAATTTTGCTCGATAATGTGAGAATCCTGTTTTTTGCCTATAGTGATCTTTGCCTACAGTTTTACCTATAATCAACCTGAAAAGATACCATTTTTGTAGAACAGAAATTTTTATTTTTGTTGTATACAACACACCTTAAAATGAGTATGTTACCTCCTTAACAAGAACTTAATGATAAGAACAATAATACTTTACACAAAATTATTTTTAAGGCAATGTTTTGTCAAAAACAATGTTTCTACTGTGCTCAGAATTTTAGTAATAATTATGTCTGACAACCATAAAAATTTGTGCAAAACTAATTTGTTTTTAAAGCTTAACTATTATCTTTATGCTGTGTATAAATTTCTAAAAACCATGGAAATATTATGTAGTTTACTTTTCATTGTTTCACGTAGCAGTTATAATCAGTGAAACAAAGCATTTTTTTATTCCTAGATTGACGAACATAGGATATGTGTTTGTGTAAGAAAACGACCTCTCAATAAAAAAGGTATGCTTAATGAGCTTTGTATAGAATTGAATTTAGAAATCAGTCAGGTATGGTAGCAAATGCTTATAATCCTAACACCTGGAATTTGAGGGAGGAGGATTGTGAATTCCAGAGCAGCCTGGATTACGTTGTAAGACATTTCAAAAAAGAAAAGTTGAGGGTCGATGAGATGGCTCAGCAAGTACAGGTGCTTACTACCAAGCCTGATGACCTGAGTTTGATCCCTGGGACCCACACTGTGAAGGGAAAGAACTGAGTCTCAGAAGTGGTCTGACCCCCACACAAGTACCTGCACAGCAGCCCATCTCTCTCCCACTCTACCCCACCCCACATGCACAATTTTTAAGTTTTTAAGGACTTTAAAAAAACTAAATTATTTTTTATTCATTAGTTTAAAAGCTGTGAAAATTACTGAATATTTATTTTCACTTATTCTTTTAGAAACTCAAATGAAAGATCTTGATGTAATCACAATCCCTAGTAAAGATGTTGTAATGGTACATGAACCCAAACAAAAAGTAGACTTAACAAGGTACTTAGAAAACCAGACATTTCGTTTTGATTATGCCTTTGATGACTCCGCTCCTAATGAAATGGTGTACAGGTAGGTGGATTTATTTCAGATTAATTAAAGTTCTCTTCTTACACTGCATCCATCAATTCCCTGACAGCTCTCCAGAGGTGTAATGTGCATTTTCATTCTGAGTTTAAATGAGGAAATGTATTAAATTCTGTATTGAGTTTTAACACATTTTTTATGTTTTATTATTTTTATATGTATGAGTATATTGCCTGCATATGTGTAAATGCACCTGTGTAATGCAGTGCCTGTGGAGGTCAGAAGAAGGCATTGGATTCCCCCAGAACTAGACTTACAGATGGTTGTTAGCCACCATGTGCGTGCTGGGAATTGAACCCGGGTCCTCTGAGCAGCCAGTGCTCTTTCACCACTGAGCCATCTCTCCAGCCCCAACACACACTTTCTTTAATGCTTCAAAAATTAGAGGTTTATTTGTCCAGGTCTTTGTTTAGCGTATGTTATAAATAAGGTAAATAAGTTACATAAATCTATTTACATTTGCTTTATTTTTATCACTTTTAAGTTTGATGATAGTTTGAATACATAAAATTCTTGTTTACATATTAAATTTACACATAATTCAAAGTTGCATGTATTAAATACATGGGTATTGCAGATTTTTGTTAGATTTTTCAGTTGTCATTTTGCAAGCATGTACTCATTTCTAATAAGCATAATAGATTTTAGCAGCATTGCTATTTTATTCCATGTATAAATATTTTCAAATGCTGCATTTTATTCTCCAATTGTATTTTATAAAAAATGCCTAAAAAACAAAAAATTAGAGTTAATAAGAATCTAAGAACTGTATTAAGACCAGCTTCATTGATCTTAGACCAATAAACTAGGACAAAATTAAAGGACATTGGAGTACTGCCGGGCATGGTGGCACACACCTTTGATCACAGCACTCCAGAGGCAGAGGCAGGTGGATCTCTGTGAGTTCACAGCCCGCCTAGTCTACATAGTGAGTTCCAGGATAACTGGACCTATAGGGAGACCCTGTCTCAAAACGACCAAAAAAAAAGAACACTGGAATACTAGGTAGATTATAAAGTATGTATTTAAGATGGAAATTGTTAATCATAAATGGGTTTTTTTTTTAAGCTCTCTGCAATTCTTTTTCAATCCCTTCTTCTACTTCTCCTTTGCCATAAAGTATAAGTTCATTTGGCTTTTATAATAGTTTTCAAGTAATCATGCAGATGTGTTTGTGATAGATCTAATAAACATTTGGGGTTTCACCTTGTATTTATGCTTCTTACCGCTACCAGTAGGTAGCTCTTACACTTGCTTCTTCTTTTATGCCTGAGGAAACTGTACATAATTTTTTTGGACCCAGTTGTTCTTCAGACTTACGCATAGTTCCATTAGACTGAAGCTTTTCCTTGCCCTTTTTTGTTGTGTGCCTTGAACTTTGCACTAAAAAAATTTAGCAAAGCTATATTGTTTGTAGATTTATTTTCTAGCACATCTTTTAGTACTCTTCTCAGTGAAGAAGTATTATCTTATCCCTTCCTATCTTATGAATTGTTGTTTGAAATTATCCTTAAAATAGCCTTAAACAATTTATTAGGTTGGTGTAAAAGTAATTGCAGTTTTTGCCTGCAATTGGTCATTAGATATTTGAATACATTCAGTTTTTTGTTTTGTTTTGTTGGGCCAGGGTTTCCTTGTAGCTTCACCTTCAACTCACTATGAAGATCAGACTGGCCTGGATCTCACAGATACCCACGTGCCTCTGCCTTTGGAGTGCTGGAACTAAAGGCGTGTACACTATGCCTGGCTTGAATACATTTCTTTCTTTTTTTTTTAATGTGTATGAATGTATTGTCTGCATGTATGTGAGTGCACCCATGTTGTGCAGTGCCGCGGAGGTCAGAAGAGAGGGCTTTGGATTCCCCTGGAACTGGAGTTAAGGATGGTTTGTAGCCACCATGTGGGTGCTGGGAATCAAACCCGGGTCCTCTGCAAGAGCAGTCAGTGCTCTTAACTTCTGAGCCGTCTCTCCAGCCCCGAGTATATTTCATTAAATGCAAATTATGTTATCCATCATTTGAATGTTATTTTGTCATTTTGCTTTTTGCTAATGACTTATACTCTGTTCATTTTATTTATTTTATACTGTGAAATAATGTTAGACAAAAAGCAAATTCAAGTGGTTTTCTTATTTGAGTTTAAAATGGGTCATAAAATAAGAAAGATGCCTTGCAACATCAACACATTTGGCCCTGGAACTGCTAATGAACATAACAGTGTATTGGTGGTTCAAGAAATTTTGCAAAGTAGAAGAGAGCCTTGAAGATGAAAGCATAGTGCTGTTCCATCAGAAGTTGGCAGTGTCCTCTTGAGAGAAACCAATGAAGCTGATCTTCTTACAGCTACATGAGAAGTTGCCAAAGAACTCATCATGGATCTTTCAACCATCATTCAGCATTTGAAGCAAAGTGAAAAGGCTCCATAAGTGGGTACCTTGTGAATTAACCAAAAGATTTCTTTTTGAACTATTGTCCTCTCTTACTTTATACAACAGTGAGCCTTTTCTCAAGCTGATTGTGACATGCAACAGAAGTGGGTTGTGTGCGATGACCAGCTCAGTAGTCTGAGACCTAAGAGACTGAGAATAAACTCCAAAGCACTTTCCAAAGTCATATTGGGGGTGGGGAGTCTTCCTGATCGGATCCACCACAGCTTTCTGAGTTCTGGAGAAACCATTACATCTGAGAAGTGTGCTCAGCAATTCAGTGCCATGTATCCAAAGCTGCCAGGCCTGCCACTGACTTTGGTCAACAGAAGAGCCCCCATCCAAATGAGGCTACATTTTGCCTTGTCCACCATTTTCACCTGACCTCTTGCCAGCCAACCACCACCTCTTCAAACATCTCAACAGCTTTTTGCAAGGAAAACACTTTGACAACTAGCAGAATGCATAAAATACTTTGCAGGAGTTTATAGAATCCCAAAGCACAGATTTATATGATATAGAAATAGACAAATATGGGGGCTAGAGAGAGGGCTCAGTGGTTAAGAGCACCAACTGCTCGTGCAGAGGACCCGGGTTCGATTCCCAGCACCCACATGGTGGCTACGAACCATCCTTAACTCCAGATCCAGGGGAATCCGAAGCCCTCTTCTGACCGCGGCATTGCACCACATGGGTGCACTCACATACATGCAGGCAGTACACTCATACACATAAAAATAATAAATATTTTTTTTAAAAAAGAAATAAACATTTCCCATTGGCAAAAAAAGTGATTATAATGGTTCCTGTTTCTACTGATAAAGATATGTTTGAACCTATTTATAATGACATATAATTCATGGTCTAAAGCAGCAGTTCTTTTGCACCAATCTAATACTTGATATTTTAAACTAAGATTTGTTTGAACTCTGGATATGCTTTATTTATGAAATAGACTTTGTTGTTTGGTATTACTTTAGTTACTTGTTTAACTTAAATATTCAGTGACACACTCTGACTTTCATTTTAATAAATAAGGTTTACTGCTAGACCGCTAGTGGAAACTATATTTGAAAGAGGAATGGCTACATGCTTTGCTTACGGGCAGACTGGAAGTGGAAAAACTCACGTGAGTAATTTGTTATAGTCTACAATCTCTGCCTTACAGATTGAGTATAAGACCTAAATTGCTTTGTGAGTGTCTGTGCATGTGTGTGCTTGTACTGTGGAGGCCAGAGGGCAATCTTGGGTGTCATTACTCAGTGCCATCCACTTTGTTTTTCAAGACCAGGTTTCTCATTGGCCTGGAACTACCAAGCAAGCTAGGCTGGCCGGCCACTAGGCCCCAGGAGCTGCTCATCTCCACCTTCCTAGCACTGGGATTGCACATGTACACTATTACACCTGCTTTCTCCACGTGGGTTCTGAAAGATAGAACTCAAATCTTGTGTTTGCATGGCAAGCACTTTACTGACTGAGCTATCATCCCAAACCTAAGACCTAAATTCTTAAGATTTATTCCTAAATAATGTCTATACCATATTTTCTTTTCCAAATGTAGACTATGGGTGGTGACTTTTCAGGAAAGAACCAAGATTGTTCTAAAGGAATTTATGCATTAGCAGGTAAGTGTTCTTAGTGTACATACTTTCTGGTATTCTTAAATATTCAGATGTGTTTGAAATAAGGCGTTTTATTATTCATCTATACATAGTATATTATTAGGTGAATTGTAGGTTATCAGATTGTTTGAAAAGAAATGGAAGGTTATGCTAGGCATGGTGACATAAACCTATATTCCCAGCTCTTGGAAGGCTGAAACGAGAGGATTGGGATTCAGGGTCACCATCAGCTACATAGTAAATTTGAGACCAGTCTTGGCTATATGAGGTCTTGTCTCAAAAAAGAGAAAAAAAGTAGTAAAAGAAATATAAGATTAAGCTTTTGGTGACAAAAATCTTGATTATTTTTGTATCAGTGTAATGTGGAGACTAGTATAAATCACTAATGAGTGCATTGTAAAAAGGTTTTCTTTGATCTGGTTATGAGAATAACCTTATTCTTACCTGTTCCCATACCCCCTTCTTTGTTGTTGAGACAAGGTATCATGTATTTCAGGCTGGCCTCAATGTTGGTATGCAGCTGAGGATGACCTTGAACTTCCGATTCTCCTGCCTCCATTACCTAAGTGCTGGGGTTAATAGGAGTGTTCCACCATGTCCGCTTTTTGCAGTGCTGTAGACTAAAGTTATAGCTTCATGCATGCTAAGCAAAGATTCTACCAACTGAACTGTATGCTGAGGCCCTTTCAAGAATAAATAATAGTATACTTTTATGGAAATGAAAGAGAATAGCTTCTTTTACAACTATTTAATTATTAAAGAGTCTTCTAAAAATTTTTTTAAAAGTAAAAATATTTGTTGCATCCTAACAACTTCCTATATGTGAAATTTTTGACAGCTCGAGATGTCTTTTTAATGCTGAAGAAGCCAAATTACAAGAAACTAGAACTTCAAGTATATGCAACCTTTTTTGAAATTTATAGTGGAAAGGTATGTGAGACTTTTTTTTAATGTGTGTGGGAGGGTGTATATATATGTGCAGGGGGTGGGTTTGTGAGTGCATGTGGGTTCATATTTATGTAAGTGTGTGTGTACACAAGTGTACATGTAAAAGTCAACTTCTGGTGTCATTTCTCAAGAGCTGTCTCTAACCTCGTGTTTTTTTTAATTCACATATTTTATGTGAATGAATATTTTGCCTGCATGTATGCAAGTACTACATGTGCACATTGCCCACAGAGGCCAGAAGAGGGCATTGAATTCCCTGGAACTGGAGTTACAGACAGTTAGCTGCCATGTGGGTGCTGGGAACTGAAAGCAGGTCCTCTGCAAGAGCAGTCAGTACTCTTAACCACTGAGCCATCTCTCCAGCCCCCAACCTTGTTTATTTTGAGACAATGTCTGTCACTGGGACCTGGGGCTTGCCAATTAAGATAGGCTGACAGGCCTGTGAGCCCCGGGGATTCTCTCATCACTACCTTCCCAGTGCTGGAATTTCAGGCATATACCACCACACCCAACTTTTTGGGGGGGATCAAATTGGGGTTCTTTTGCTACAAATATTGTTTATATCTTGAGACTTTTTAAGTGTTTAAAGCTGTCAGTATTGAACATTGTTCTGGTAATAGTAGAGCTGGGTGTTTTTGTTTTTTTTTTTTTTCCAAGAGCTAGTTTTCTTATTTGAATTTTTTTGTAGGTGTTTGACTTGCTAAATAGGAAAACAAAATTAAGAGTACTAGAAGATGGAAAACAGCAGGTGCAAGTGGTAGGACTACAGGAACGGGAAGTCAAATGTGTGGAAGATGTACTGAAACTCATTGACATAGGCAACAGTTGTAGGTAAGTCTAAAAGGGAGACTTCAGTTTAGATACTGTGGATATAGCCTACAAAGCCAAGAGGTTCTCAGTATACCTTGGAAGTAAAAATCATCATTCATGAAAGTTTTGCATGACAAGTTGAGTAGCATCTATTATATTGATAACATGCTGCACATATGTTGGAAAAATGTCAGAATAAATGATAGGAATCAGTTATATGTAACTGGTATTAACTCAGTATCTTCTGTGTTTAAGTGATGTAAACTGACTACATAGATTTTTTTTTTTTTTGGTTGCTGTTTTTGAAAAGTGAAAATATTATGGTTAACATGTAAATAAAAGTTTTGATGTATCAAGATGTCCTTAATCACATTGTAGAACATCTGGTCAGACATCTGCAAATGCACATTCATCTCGGAGTCATGCAGTGTTTCAGATTATTCTTAGAAGAAAAGGAAAACTACATGGCAAGTTTTCTCTCATTGATTTGGCTGGGAATGAAAGAGGAGCTGATACGTCCAGTGCAGACAGACAAACTAGGCTTGAAGGTGCTGAAATTAATAAAAGCCTTTTAGCACTCAAGGTAAATAAAATATATTTAATTATTAAAGTTTGTTTACCTTTGATTCTAATTTTGCTTACTTGGTTGTAAAAATAAATAGCGTTTTACCTAATAAAAAGAATTTCAAACGTAGTTGTTACACTTGTAGTAGACTGAATTGTATATAGAATTTTTCCTTACATACATTATTCATTCTTTTTAGATGAGATAAAGGATGTGAGTCAACAATTGAGGCCAATTCTGAGGCTAATTAACTAGATTCTAAAGGCCTGTCATCAGCTAGGCTTTCTTCAGGGGACAAAACTATGGAATTGAGCTAAGAAATGGTTTCTTAGAAAAACATGGAATGGCTTTCACTGAGGTTATATTTTTTCTTTTGGGATGCCACTGTTTTTAAATTTCAACTTTTATAGCTTTCCTGTTGCCTGGACTTTTAAACACTGGTTATAGTTTTCAGAGGTTTCATTTTTTTTGTGGGGTTTTTGTGATGAAGGTTTGCTTTTGTTGCCATTCATTTTCTTGACTCAACATTTAAGAAAACATCTTTAAATGCTGTAAAACTTAGAATTTTCAGAGCTTATCAGCCCTTAGATGTCAGCAAGTAGGAAACATCTTAAAATTGTTGATTAAAGTCACTCTTTGTAACAAAACCTAAACTATAAGAAAATATTTTCTTAATTTTCAGGAGTGCATCAGAGCCTTAGGAAGAAATAAGCCTCATACTCCTTTTCGAGCAAGTAAACTCACTCAGGTGTTAAGAGATTCATTCATAGGTGAAAATTCCCGTACTTGCATGGTAAGTTTATTTTTGTTTTTTTATCTTAACTCCTCAAAGAATAACTACAAAATATTTGTATGAGTTTTAGGTGTTAATTACAATTAATTAGTCTTCTCTTTTGAGAGACAGTGATGTTAAAATGTGATGCCAGTCTGATGAAAAGTATTATATTACAGCTATAATTCTAATTTCAACATCAGGATACATCATAAAAACTCTAAATTCTCTTTTTTAAAATTTTACTTTATATGTGTTTTGCCTACATGTACGTATGTACACCACATGTTGCAATGCCTGCAAAAGCCAGAAGAGGACATCAGATCCCCTGGAACTGAAGTTATGGACAGTTGTTTGCCACTGTATGGGTGCTGGGAACTGAACCCAGGTCCTTTCCAAGAGCAGCCAGTGTTCGTAACCACTGAGCCACCTCTCCAGCCCCCAAACTCTAGATTCTCTTATTCTGGCTTATTATTTTAACAGAAGTTAACTTACTCCCAATTCTTATTTCCTTGGTAAGGTTAGTAACAAACTGTAGTCTCTTCATACATTTATCTATGTTGCTTATAGTTTTGTATATTACTAGCTCAGTGGTCAACCAAAGATTGGGCAATTTTGTATAGAATTTTGAGTTTCTCTCAGTATTTCTCTTCTAGGACAGTTTCAGTTTTCCAGCTGCTGTGGTCCCAGCTCTCAGACTGTGCCTTCCAGCTTCTTAATCAGTGATACTAGATGTTTCTGATGAGACTTAGTGATCCTAGGTGACATCAGTAGGGCTTTCTTTTCAGCAGAATGCTCTTTAAAAAATAGGAGTGAGGGACAGTCTGTTGTTCCTTCTTTAAATGTTTGCCTTCATTTTCTGCTAGATTTTAATAACTTTCTGAAGGCTTCAGAGAGTTGTTTATATTTTTACCTGGATTTTATTATGTGATTACATGTGTACTAGATAGACAGATCTTAGAGGTCAGATAATAGCTGTTGTAAGATTAGACCTAAATAAGCTATTTGTCAGGATTATTGTCTTGATCATTTATGATTTTATGTTTCCATTTTTTTCACCCTTATAGATTGCCACAATCTCTCCAGGAATGGCATCCTGTGAAAATACTCTTAATACATTAAGATATGCAAATAGGTATGAGAACTGTTTCTACATTTTGAAATTTGAAATCTAACACTGTATTAGAGAAGTATTTATTATGCTATACCTAATAGGGGAACCAGGCATGGTGGCACACGCCTGTAATCCCAACATTTGATGAAGTTGCAGGAGGATCTGCAGTTGCAAGCTATTCTGACCTACACGAGACCCTATATCACAACAAATTTTAAAAACCCTCAAAACCTAACAGGGCAAATTTTCTTATATTGTTCTTTGAATTTACAAAATAAAGTTGTATATTATTTAAGAATATAATGTTTAGAGTTGTTTTAGAAAAATGGGGGGCTGGAGAGATGGCTCAGCGGTTAAGAACACTGACTGTTCTTGCAGAAGACCCGGGTTTGAATCCCAGTACGCACATGGCAAACAACTGTCCGTAACTCCAGTTCCAGCCTCTTCTGTCCTCCGTAAGCATTGCACAACACGGGTACACTTATCTACATGCAGGCAATACACGCATACACATAAAATATTAAAATTAGTAAAATGAGTAGGAACGTGTTATATAATTAAGACTCTATTCATGACTTTTCTCTCTCCTAGAATGTGGTTACATTTTTCCATTTCAATACATTAGAGTTCATAGTATTTTACTACATTTCAATCATGCAAATCTTTATTGTATTACTACCAAGTGAGAATCAGAAAGTTAGTCTTATTTCTTGAAATTGTTTTGCTCTGTACTGAAATTATTCTTGGTTATTTTTTTAATATTTTATTATTTTATAAGTGTTTGTATGTAGGTAGGTGCATCCATGTCATCCATTGCCCACAGAAGTCAAAAGACGGCGTTAAAATCCCTGAAACTGGAGTTATAGATTGGTTGTTAGCCACCATGTGGGTGCTGGGAATCAAACTGGGTTTTGGCTTATGAAACGACATTTTGTTCATCCTAAGAAAATAGAATATGTTGCAGTATTTAAATCACATAGAAATTATTTGGATGCCGGGCTAAGCTTGCAGTTTAGTTAATGACATTTTTTGAATAAGATACTTGACTTCTAAGTTTTGTTGTCTATGAAATGAAGATAATATCACAAGAGTCTTACCATGTCTATATAATATAATGCCTAAAAGATACTAATGCTAGTACTTGACATATAGGAAATACTTAATTTATAGATTACTATAAAATTACTATATTATACTATATTTATTTATTATAGTACTGTAAATTGCTATAAAATGTCACATTAAGCAGGATGAGAGACGTACTTGAGTTAAATGTAACTACTGTAGTCATTAGCAAAGCCATTTTTAAATTCTATTGCTAAAGGCTATTTCCCATTAGGGTTCTTCATTAAAATTACCAGCCACAAAATCTTGAGTATCTCTTTTCACAGTCATATGGAGGAAGTTATATAGCGAATGCAATTATAGATAAGCAAAAGTTAACAATACAAACCATGGGTGCCTTAAGGCATTAGGATTTCATTCTTTTTTTCTTTTTTTTTTTTTTTTTTTTTTCATTCTTTTACACCTGGTTTAAGAAGGTCTACAAAAGTGTTGAGAACTCAGGGCTGAGGAGCTGGCTCAGATGGTAAAGTTCTTTCTGCTCAAGCATAAAGACCTGAGCTTGGATCCCCTCCCAGCACTTGGGAGGCAGAGGCAGGGAGATCTCTGTGAGTTCCAGGCCAGCTGGGGCGACAGGGAGACCCTGTCTCAAAAAAAGAACCCCACCCCCCCAAAAAAGCTGGGTTCCTTGGCATATACCTTGTAATCCCAGAGCCAGGAAGATGGAGACAGGAGAATCCCTGGGCTTCACTGGCCAGCTCTTCGAGCTGAGTTGGTAAGTTCTGAGTTTGGTGAGAGACCTTGTCTCAGAAAATAAAAAGAGTGATTGAGGAAGACATTCCACATTGGCCTCTGGCATCCACATGTGTGTACACAGTACATACACATACATGCACACACATAATCTCTGCCCCCAATTATGAGGACTAATGAAGGCTAATAAAATATTCATGCTGCTGTCCACATGAGGAAATTAGATTGTGTGGTCATGTCCCATGAAGCAAAGGACCTTCAGATTTAGGGAGTGGCCTTGTTAAGTTTCCAGGAAGATTTTTGGGAAGGAAAGTACACTACTAGAAAGATTTTTTGTTTTATTTTGTTTGTTTCTGAGTTAGGAGGGTCAATAAGAGGTTCAGGAACCTCTTTAAATTACTTGTGAAATAATATTCTAAATATGTTGTTATAACAAATTCAATATTCTTTTCTAAACAAAATGTGAACTGTGTATGCTGTCTTTACCAAGAACCTCTTAATTTGTTGCTGTTTTGGTACTGCAGAGTAAAGGAGTTTGGAATTAGTCCATCAGACATTCCCTTCTCCCAGGGTAGTGGCAGTCGCCCTGATCTCTCTCCTTCTTATGATTATGACGACTTTTCTCCTTCGATTACCAGGTCTTACTTCTTTCTGTACATAAGATGCTAATTTTACTAGCTTGTTTTGAATTGTGCTGTATATAAGTATTTCATTGACTTTTGTTCTGAGCCATTTTATTTTTCATTTTCACTTCATTTAGGTGGTGGTTGTACTGCATGATCTACATTTTTTTGCCCTCTTTATTTGCTTTAAAAATATTGATTTAGAATTCAAGCTTCTTATTTCCCCTCATTTTTAAAAAAGATGATGTCACTTTTACATATTTATCTTTAATATGTATGGTATAAGTTTCGTTGTTTGCAAGGAAATAAAATTCTCATGACTCAAAGTATATCCTTTAATTTGTAAATTTAAATGAGGAAACATTTTTAAGTGGCAGAAGTTAGAATCTTACAGTCTTTAGGTGTTAGAGATAAAATTGTTTCATATTTAGCTATCTTTAACAGTATGACTACTGGAAATCTTCAACATATATAAAATTCCTTCAGCAATGATTTCTTTATGGACCTTGACAATTTTTCTGTCATATAATGTAATTGAAACAATAGTTTATTTCTTTAAAATATTGGATCTATATACTTTAGTAATTTTCACTTTCTATTTCTAAAATAATTGCAAACTAGCCTAAATAAGGTAACATTAAACAACCAAACATCTTACTGTTTCACAGATTTCAGATTAATTTGGCCTATAAAAGTGGCATCATCAATCTTAGTGTGTTCATTGAATTGCTTTTGCAAATGTTGGTGGTTACTTGTTTCTCTGTATGAGTCTTTCTTAATTTCATATAACTTTTATTTATAGGGTGAAAGAATTAACTGTTGATCCAGCTGCCGCTGGTGATGTCCGTTCAATAATGCACCATCCACCAAGCCAGATTGATGACTTAGAGACCCAGTGGGGTGTGGGGAGTTCGCCTCAGAGAGATGATCTAAAACTTCTTTGTGAACAAAATGTGAGTGACATAATATAATTGTAACTGATCTAACCTTAGGGGTTTTTTTTTCCTTATTAGCAGAATTTAATTGAAAACCATGGTCTAAAGCAAGCTCAGCAAACTACACCCTACAGGCTAACTATCTGTTTGTATAAATAAAGTTTTACTGGAATATAGCCATGTTTTTTGTTTATAGGATGTCTGGCGACTTTCTTACCATAGCAGCAGTTACAGAGAATGTATGACTCATGGATCCAAAACAGCTGCCTGGCTTACCAGCCTTCTGATCTAGTTGGTTTTTTGGTTTGTGTTTTATTTATTTTTTTTTCCCATGTGTATGAGTGTATTGTCTGCATATGTGTGAGTGCACCCATGCAATGAATGCCGCAGAGATCAGAAGAGGGCTTCGGATTCCCCTGGAACTGGAGTTAAGAACAGTTCATAGCTGCCATGTGGGTGCTGGGAATCGAACCTGGGTCCTCTGCAAGAACAGTCAGTGTTCTTAACCGCTGAGCCATCTCTCCAGCCCTTTTTTTTTTTTTTTAACAGATTGTATACCAGTATTAAAATTTTAGCAGCTAATATAATTTGAAGATTATATATACAATATGTCATATATAAAGGGTTCTTAAAATTATAAATATTCACCGGGCCTAGTGGCACGCGCCTTTAATCCCAGCACTCGGGAGGCAGAGGCAGGCGGCTCTCTGTGAGTTCAAGGCCAGCCTGGTCTACATAGTGAGTTCCAGGACAGCTGGGGCTACAGGGAGACCCTGTCTCAAAAAGACCAAAAAAAAAAAAATTATAAATATTCAACTATTTAAGATTTATATGGCTAATCTGTAAGGACAGGCAGGTAGGCAGGTATAAAGAAAGGAGAAAGTGTGTGAACTAGGCATGGGTGCCACACACCTGTAATGCAGTTATCAGGAAACTGAGGCATGAAGTTCAAGGCTAGGCAACAGTAAGTTCCAGGCCAGTTAGGGCTGCAGTGTAATATTCTGTCAAGAACAAAAAAGGTGGGGAGATCGCTCAGTGTGTAAAGTGCTTGCTGCATGCAGGATTTGAGTTCTGATCCTCAGCACCCATGTAAGAATCAGGAATATGGGGGCAGACCATGAGCAGGACGGAGACGACCTTGGAGCAGCACTTGGAGGACACAATGAAGAATCCCTCTATTGTTGGAGTCCTGTGCACAGATTCACAAGAACTTAATCTGGGCTGTTGTGGTACCCTCGAATGAGCATGCTGGAGTAATATCTGTGGTAGCCCAGCAAGCAGCTAAACTAACTTCTGACCCCACTGATATTCCTATGGTGTGTTTAGAATCAGACAATGGGAACATTCTGATCCAGAAACATGATGGCATCACAGTGGCAGTACACAAGATGGCCTCTTGACATCTCCTGTCAGTTCTCCAGCAGCCTGTCACAGGGATTCAGTCCTACCTATGCTAATTAACGTTAAACTATTAAAGTTCTTAGGTCATTCATTTAATGTACAATGAGCACTTTTCTATTTATATTATAACCAACCATCAAGATACTAGAAAGGATCATAGTAGTTTGGGCTTTTGTCATTTTGCCTTTTTGAGACCATCTCACTTTGCAGTCCAGCATAGCCTAGAACTGTACAACCCAGGCTGACCTCAAATTTGTGGTCTTCCTGCCTCATACTCGTGGGTGCTGGGATTACAGATGTTTGTCACCAAGGTTCAGGTCACTTTGTATATAGAACTTGGTTGTGGTCAAAAAACCTGTTCAGAGAAACAAACAAACAAAAAGAATCAGGAATGTGGTGTGTGTTTGTAACCTCAGTGCTGGAGGGCAGAGAAGTAGATCCTGTGGGTTTACTGCCAGCCATTCTAGCTGAACCAGTGAGTTCTAGGTTCAGTGAGAGACCTTGCCTCAAAGGAGAGCAATAGAGGAAGGTGGTATCTTCATGTAGTTGCCTATAATAACATTGAGAGAAATTTTTTTTCTGTGTATGAGATTTAAAAGTGCTTTATGGAGAGATGGCAGTTAAGAGCATCTACTGCTCTTGCAGAGAGCTCAAGTTTGTTTTTAGCACCCACATCATGCAGCTTACAACAGCCTGTAACTCCAGGTGCAGGGACTCTGACATCCTCTTCTGGCCTCTGCAGGCACCTGCACATACATATGTATAATTAAAAATAAGTAAAAAGCTTTTTATTAAAAATAAGTAAGAAGCTTTTTATGCAGTTATTTCACTTTTAAATTGTGTATTCTGTATGACTCCTAAAGGCTTATTTGGCTTTTTTTTTTTATGTTAAAAGGTAGCTTTTACTAGCTGTTTATTCTATGACATACATTTGCTAAGTATTTTACTTAATTTTACCTTATTTAGTCTTCCAACTCAGTATGGTAGATGTAATTATCCTTACTTCAATATCAATATAAGCCACTTCACCAGCATTAAATAAAAGTGCTAAAGCCACAATTGAAACTTATATCTTTATGCCAGAGCCAAATACCAGTTAAATTTATCATCATCTGCAATACAATAATTTTTCAAAAACAATGTCAATAGTGTTATGTTGTGATATTTCTAGCAGATGTAAGTGTAGAACATTCTAGAGTAACAGTTGAAAATGCTTCATTTTGGGTACCCCATTGACTAGGACCTCATGCATCTCATGCATGTTGGTTAAATGCTCTGGCACTGAGCTACATCCCCCAATGAAAATACTTCATTATGATGTCCACATCAATGTGATTGAAACAGGGCTCAGAGCAGCTGTTTCAACCAAAGGATATCTTCCTGACCCAGTGCAAAGTAGCTGGTGACATTGGTTGTCATAGCTGGAATAATGTTTCAAGCTTCTAGTGGGATCCTGTTGAATGCCATACAGTGTGCATCAGTTCTAAGATTGAGAAAACATAAAGGGTTATAAACTTGACCTAGTCCATCATCTCTCAAAATTTTGAAAGACACTGTAGTTCTGAGAATGTCAGAGCAATTCTTGTTAGATATGATACCTTCTGAAAACAGAGAAAGCCAGAGTAAGATAGACTCTACCTATAGCATATCTTTGCATTTTGTGTTTTACTGGGCCTGTACAGAGCCAGAGCTTTAAATAGGACATCAGAAGTTCTTATGGCCCCAGTATTTCAGAGTGTCTATTTCTTTCTTCTTTGCCTTTGAGATTATTCAGCATTAGCCCTACATTGAATGTTAGTGCAATGTTACTATAAAAACATTAAAGATTTCTTTTATGTGTAGGTGCACCATGTGTGTACAGTGCCCACAGAGGCCAAGAGAGGGATTTGAATCCCCTGGAATTGGAGTTACAAATGATTATAAGTTGCCACGTGGGTGCTGGGCACCTAACCCAAATCCTCTGGAAAAATAAGAAATTCTCTTAATCACTGAGCCATCTCTCCAGCCCCTAGACAAAAGTGTCTGGGAGTAGACTTTATGTAATATGGTCATTTGCATAGTTTCTGCAAGCAAAGTGGGGAGAGAAAGGGATATTTGGAGCTGAAGGTTAGCCTGGTCTGCGTAGTGAGTCCCAAGCCAGCTAGACCTATAGGAAAAAACCTTGCCTCAGAAACCAAAATCGGAGTATGGTCTCTGAGTACATACTGCTCTCATGCCATCATAAACTCCTCAAATCATGTCGAACCATTCTTAGAGTCGGAATATAGATATATATATGAAGTATGAAGTAAATTGTTAATGAAGACAGTACTAACCAGTATAATCTGAAATGTTTATATTTGAAAGTTTGGACTGTTACAGAAAAAAACACTACTTTTTAGAGTAAGTCTGCAACAAAATTTGACCTAAGTGAAAATTACTTGCGCATGTTCTCATTGCCTTACTTACATTACTTTGCCCCACAGAAGGAAATTGTGGCCTTTTCTCTTGTGTATATGTATTGTTGTAGTCTTCACCATTGAAGTGTTTTCAGATATTAAATATCTTTTTATTGAGTGGGATTTTTTGTTGTCATTGTTTTTGGAGACAGGGTCTCTATAGCCCCAGTTGGCCTAGAACTTGCTATATAGACCAGACTTAAATATCCTTTTTAAAAATGATTTTGCAAAACTTCTTTTGAAGCTGGAGTATAGCTCAGTGATAAGGCTTGCAAGTCCCTGGGCTCCCAAGGAAGAGAAGAAAAACTACTTTGACATTTTAAAATACAAGCTGTGGGGCAAGAGAGATGTCCCTGGTTAAGAGTACCTGGTTCAGTTAAGAGGCCTGTGTTCAGTTCCCAGCACCTGTGTAGTAGCTAATAAGCACCTACAACTCTAGTTCCAGGGGGATCTGATGCTCTTCTCTTCCCTCCAGGGGCTCCTGGACACAGTGATGCATATAAATTTGTGCAGGCTCACACATATACATAAGTAAAAATAATGAAAAGCATTATGTCATAATTTTTAAATCTTTTTTTTTTTAAGGAAGAAGAAGTTTCTCCACAGTTGTTTACTTTCCATGAAGCAGTCTCACAAATGGTAGAAATGGAAGAACAGGTTGTAGAAGATCACAGGGCAGTGTTCCAGGTAAAGACCTTTCATCAGAATATTTGTTGTAATTAACCAAAAATTTCCATAAAACCATGCATATAACACTGTTCCTAAATTTTTATTTAAAATTACTTAATATTGTGTGTATGTGTGTATTTGTAGGACATGTGGTAGCAACTTTTTCCATGTTTTTTTTTTCTAATAGAATGGACAGGTCTGGGGATGGAGAGTGCTTGCCTAGCATTCACAAAACATACCAGGGTCATTCCCTAGCATGTGTAAGGATTAATACTGTGACTTAATATTTCTCTGCACCATGGCTAAAAGATCTGCTTTATTTTGTATTCTTGTCCTTATTTTTCTTGTCCATTTTTAGAGATTTAACCTTTGCCTAGCACTACTACTTTATTAGGCTGGTTTGACAACAGTAAGAGATTCTTAAAAGTGATATGCAGTACTGGAGGAAGTCAGTCTTTGCAGAAAAGGACGAGTAAGTGCTACAGGAGACTGGAGTGGCAGCCGATGGGGTGGAAGCTGCACATCCTTGCAGGAGCAGTCACTCTGTGCTTGTTGGGCTTGTGTTTGATTTGGATTTTGTCTTTAAGACAGGTCTTGCTGTGTTGCCTAGGCTGGCTTTGAATTCCTGAGCAGCTGTAATTACAGATACTCCACCCAGCTCTGTGTGTGTGTGTGTGTGTGTGTGTGTGTGTGTGTGTGTGTGTGTGTACATGCCACAGTGTATGTATATGGTCGAGGACAATTTGCGGGAATCGGTTCTTTCCTTCTACCTTGTGAGCCCTGCGGCTCAAAGGCTCAAACTTAGATATTTAGGGCTTGGCTCCTGTGCTCACTGAGCCATTCATTTTTAACAAGTAACGATCTTGTGGTATATTTGAGTGAGCAAAGATACCATGTGGACATCTTTGTAAAGATTTCCTGTATTGGTCCTACCCATATTACGTTTCCTGAGGAAAAAAATCTTCCTCATTGATCTGTATTTTTCTGATATTGAAGAAATCTTTTATCTACAAACATAAGAAAAGTTTGGAACTTTGTACAATGACCATCATTTCTCACTTTGTTCCCTCCTCTCCTTCATTTGATCTCCTTTCCTTTCCCTTCTCCATAATGCCCATTTCTCACTCAGCTCCCTTCTCTTGCTTTTTTGAGCCTAGTTCTTGCTATGTGACATAGACTGTCCTAAACCCTTAGTCTTCCTGCCTTCCAGTTGCTGGTACCTAGCTCACCCTGCCATTTTTACAGATGAAGTCTTATGTTTATCTATTAGTAAAATGCAATATTCTGGCTATCAGTATAGTGTTTTAAATAGTTACCTAGATGTAAGTGAATTCTTTCTGTAGTGGTGACACAGTATAGTTGTAATTAGCCATTAATTGGTGTTTGAAATTTTGATATTTTTATATGCCTTAAAAACCAAGGAAATATCCATCCATTCCCCATTGCCTTTTGAGACAGGGTCTCATTACGAAGTTGTAGCTGGCCTGGAACTCACAGAGATCTGCCTACCTCTGCCTCCTGAATGCTGGGCTTAAAGGCATGTACCACCATGCCCAGCAAGAAATACTTCTTAATTTTACTGTGAATAAATGTCAGTGTCTATCAGTATTTTAGAGAATTATCACTATATTTAATGATTTGTAAATTGGTAAAATGTTTTACAAATACTTGAATTTTTATTTTTAGGAATCCATTCGCTGGTTAGAAGATGAAAAGGCTCTCTTAGAGATGACGGAAGAAGTAGATTATGATGTGGATTCATATGCTACACAACTTGAAGCTATTCTTGAGCAAAAAATAGACATTTTAACTGAACTACGAGGTAATTTATTTTTCATTTTAATGTTTGGAATGAAATCTGCATGACATTGAGATGTATACTAGTGGGAAGATTTTGATATGAGGACATAGGAAGTGAAGATGGTGGACGCCATTTAGTATCTTTTTGTCCAAACAAAAAGACAACCAACCATTCTCTTTTTAAAAAAAAAAATGGGATTGGGAGAGGGCTCAGTGTGTAAGGCTCTTGGGCTTTCTTGACCCAAGTTCAGATCCCTAGAACCCATGAAAAGGCAAGTAGCACCCGTCTGTGGTCCTAGTAAGCTTATGAGGAGATGGGAGGTGGAGACAGGAGACACTCAGAAGCTCCAGCTATCTGCAGCATGGCACACATAGTGACAACCACAGAGACCCTGTCTCAAACAAGATAGAAGGACCAACAGGCAGGGAAGTTGGTCCTCTGAACTCCACATGCACTCCTGTACCCACATGCATGTAATACATCATACATACACAAAGGTTTTTTTTTTTAATTGTTTTTGTCTTTTTTTAATATTTTTGTGTATAAGTGTATTGCCTGTATGTATGTGAGCGCACCCATGTCGTGCATTGCTGCAGACATCAGAAGAGGGCTTCAGATTCCCCTGGAACTGGAGTTAAGGACCGTTCATAGCTGCCATGTGGGTGCTGGGAATTGAACCCAGGTCCTCTGCAAGACCAGTCAGTGCTCTTAACCGCTGAGCCATCTCTCCAGCCCCACAAAGGGTTTTTTAAAAAAAACCCACTGTCATTTCCAGTTCTCTCGTGTCATGTTTGGTAAATTTATTTAGGGCTCTTTTTGTTTTACTCATGAATAGAAGCATGTAGCTTACCTGGACACTATGGATTTTTGGCTTTATTGGCTACTCTGTGTGCCTTTAAATACACTTTGTGTATGTTGGTTTGGCTCTTGCTTCTGTGAAAGTTTTCGTGTACATGCAACTCAACATGAAATCAGATTGAAATTTCTACTTTTTAGCCACAGATAGGCTGTTTAAAATTTTAAAGCAAACCCTTCATGAAGTTAGTTGATATCATGCCCTATAGAGTAAGTCATTAATGATTGCTCCTCTAAAAGTGCTTGTCTTGTTTATATTCAAGCTTTGATTTAAATTATTTGGGTAATTTTTCTAATAATCCACAATCTGCCTTTCTCTGTATGTGTGGACATGAACGTGGAAGGCAGAGGTTGACATCATACCTCTTTATTTTTTGAGATAGGGTCTCACCAGTTAGCTAGACTGACTGGCCAGCAAGCCCCAGGAACCCTGTCTCTACCTCCCTAGTGTAGGGATTATTGCAGGTGTGTGCTACTGCACTGTGCTTTTTCACATGGGCGCTGGGAATTAAGCTCTGGTCCTTGCCAAGCACTTTACCATCACCCCCAATCCCACAACCACCCTAATGTTCTGTGTTCTAATGTTTCCTTGGTTGTCTCAAATTCCATACAGCACACATATTTTTGGAAAAGTTACTGTGTAAGCAGTGCAGTAGTCAGTCATCTTAGAACTTTTTTTAAAGCTATCCAGAGATAATTCTAGATTAATAAAAGAAGTTTGAGAGCTTAACGGGCACCAGACCCAGTACTCAGTAAATTGATACTTGCTGAAGGACAACTAAAACACCTCTAGATATTACTAAATGTTCCCAGGGCCAAAAATCACCTCTAGTGGAGAATCACTGCTATAAAAAATATCATTTCCAAGTAACCTATAATTTGCTACTCTGTTGATAAATTTAAAAATTTTAAAACATAACAAAATTATGTGTATGGGTAGATTGCCTGCATGTAAGTGCACGCATATCTTGCAGTGCCCGCTTGAGGTCAGAAGGTGGCGTTGGAGCCTCTGGAACTGGAGTTATGGATGGTTGTTAGCCATCATGTGGGTGCTGTGAACCAAACCCAGGTCCTTTGCAAGAACAGCCAAGTTGTGCTCTTAACCCCTGAGCTATCTCCCTAGATCCAGGGGATCCAATGCCTTCCTCTAGCCTCTGTGGGAATTGCGTGTACATGGAACACATACATACATGTAGGCAAAACACTCAAACTAACATAAAAAAAATGTTTAAAAAGAAAACCCAATTAATTCCAGCACTCAGGAAGCAGAGGCAGGTGACTAAGACTTAGTTCAAGGCCAGACTGGTCTACAGTTGCAGGCTAGGTGGGGCTACAGGGAGACTCTGTCTCAAAAAAGAAAAAAGAAAACCCAATTAAAAAATAAAATTTCTTAGCTTAAAAAGAAGCCAAGTAGAGGGGCTGGAGAGATGGCTCAGCGGAAGAACACTGGTTGTTCTTACAGAAGACCTGGGTTCAAATCCCAGCACCCACATGGCAGCTAACTGTCTGTAACTCCAGTTCCAGGGAATCTGATAGCCTCTTCTGTCTTCTGAGGGCACTGCATGACACTGATGCACTTACGCAGGCAATAAATATATAAATTTAAAATAAAAAAAAATTTCTAAAGCCAAATAGAGTAGAAATTTACCGATATTGAAGACTATTTTACGTCTTAATAAAACTCACCATTTCCCTTTTAGTTGTGACTACTCCAAGATTTTTTGTTTCCATGTTGTGGTTTGGATGGGGTTTTTGTTTTGAGACAGTCTTAGTATGTGGCCTTGGCTGGCCTGAAAATTGCTATGTAGACCAGGCTGGCCTTGAACTCACAAGATAATCCACTTGCCACTGCCTTCTGAGTGCTAAGATTAGAGCTGTGCAACCCCATACCCTGCTAGAATTATTTTTGTTTTACACATATGAGTGTCTTGTCTGCATGTATGTAAGTGCACCACGTGCATGCAGTGCCCTTGAAGACTAGAGAGCATTGGATCCCGACACTGGTGTTGTGGACAGCTGTTGGCTGCCATGCAGGTCTCTGCAAGAGCAGGAAGTGCTCATAACCAACTAAGCTATAACTCAGCCCCGTGATGACATTTTGAAACATATAAAGCCTCCTGGGATCCCAAAAGAACTGAAACAAACTAAAATTCAACACTATAAAATGTGAACAACAAAAGAGAAATTGGTTGAAAAATAAAAATGGGCTTTTACTGGGACTGTGTAATGAAATTTATTATAGTTGAGCATAATTTAGTCCTGAGGTTCTAGACAACATAGGATAAAAGAAAAATACTGACTTGTTATGAAATAAATGCTAACTTGATATGCTCTTTAAGTTGTACACTGTGGGGCGTAGGAGTGCACACATAATCACAGCACTTGGGAGGCAGCTGCAGGCAGATCTCCTTAAGAATGAGTCCATGAGGCCAGCTTGGTCTACATAACTTGCCAGCTCGGGCTATTAGGGAGACCCTGTCTCAAAAACTCACACAAAAAGTTGTATGCCTATTGCTGTAATAGACACTCACTCCCTTGTTCTTTTCTTATTCCAAGATAAAGTGAAATCGTTTCGTGCAGCTCTACAGGAAGAAGAACAAGCCAGCAAGCAAATAAACCCGAAGAGACCCCGAGCCCTTTAAATTGGTATTTGCTGCTAAAGGATCCCAGAACCTTCAACACTGTAACATAAAATGGTTCAGCTGTAAGGGCCACTTGAAAGTTTAAAATCTTAGTGTGAGGAAAATGTCTTGTCCTTCACCTGAATACCATTTCAATTCTGTGAAACACTCTTCTGTCTCCAAAATGCTCCTAATCCAGGAGGCACAACTAACAGTTGGGATTAGTGAAGTATTTTGTCTCATTTACCCAGATAGTGATTTACTTTTGGAGATCCTTACAATTTTATCCCTGTATGGAGATATTCGACTTAATGCAGAGGGGGAGTAGGGGAAGCCACAGCATTTCCTTTTAACTCAGTTCAATTTCCATAGAGAGATTGAGCAGTTTTGAATACTTTGCGTGCATGCATACCTCATCAGTGATTGTACATACCTTGTACTCCTAGAGACAGCTGTGCTCACTCATCCTTCTCCAGGCCTTCACCAAGGCCACTGACCCTAGATTTCTGAAGCACAGCCAAGATAAATTACATTCCTTATTTGTAACTGTAAATTACCTTTACTGTGTGTACATTTTTACTGTATTGGAAACATTTTTTTGTGTGTGACTAGCTAATTTTGCAGGATGTGCCATATCAATTGAACGGAACTAAAGTCTGTGACAGTGGACATAGCTGCTGGACCATTCCATCTTATATGTAAAGAAATCTGGAATTATGATTTTAAAACCATGACATGTGATAATTTTCTTAGCATTTTCTTTGTAAAGAACTAAAATATAAACTAGTTGGTGTATAATAAAAAATAATGAAATTCTGAGAAGAGTTTTATCTTAGGATAATACATATATATGCAATGTGTGTACCAGTGGTGTTAAGACTAATAGTGCAATTTGATTCTTACCAATACCATTATTTAAGTTGAAGTGTTCATTGGCCCCCCAAATTTACTTTAATGTACTGTTAAAGGAAATTGGCTTCTGATGCATGAACATTTATATGTACATTAAAAGTTAGTTTAAGCCAAGCGTAGACAGATGTAACTCCCCTTAAAAAGGCAGGTCATACCCACACTCCATCTAATCTTTGTTATGTGTCGGTTTGCCATTTGGTGAGAATCAACATATTCTCACCTATAGATTGATGGTAAGGTAAGCTACTCTTTAAATGGCAGCCCTTACTTTTACAGCTGCTACTATATAAGAAAGAAAACTGGCCATTTTTCATGTAAATACTGTGTTTAAAGATTTATATATCTCTCTAGGAGTTTTCCCTTGGTTTCCAGTATATAGTCCAGTAGTTGAACAACAAAAGAACCTCCCAAGGATATCTTTTGATTAACTCTAGGGAACTGCTAACTCATTCATGAACCAAGGGGAAGCTATGAATAGAGTCCATACAAGCCAGAGTCTGTTCATGAATGAGAGGGTAGCTGTGAGAAATCCTAACACCATGGTGAAAAGCTTTGTAAACATGAAATCTAAAACAAATGTAGATTTTTCACAATATGCTTATTAATAAATGGAATCTATGAAACAAATTTAGATAATGTATTTCACTATAATCACCTTTGTTTTGGAAGGAACTCAGGTTTTCTTGCGGTTGTAAAATATATTTGTGTTTATTTCACAAACGAGAGGAAGAAAGAACTATTTCTATTGACCTTGCAGAGGCTATTCAAGAAGGTAATTCAGAGTGATCCATATTTAACAGGCAATAAAGACATGAACTTGCTCGTTTTACTCACATTTTAATATTATTGGCATTAGACAGGTACTGTCTTTGGAAGTTCTCTGTAGACACATATGCTGCCTTATGAAAGCTTCATCCTGATCAAAGTATTTAGAAAAACTGGTACCACAAAAGATCTTGGGAAGTAGCATGCAACCATTCAGCTTTACAAAGGGAAAGCTGAAGGCCAGAAAAAGGACTAAAAACAAGCAATTCATGGGGGTAGAGGTTAGGTGTGGTACAAGTGAGCTGTGCAAGACTTTTATGAGATTAAAAATAACCCCCCAGAATAGTTGTCCATGTGGCTTCTGCAGCTCTGGAAATTTTTTGTTCTAGATAATTTGGTGCTTTTATCAGTCTTGAAAGCTGCTATACATTATTTTAACAATTTGATATATCGCATTTACTCTGAATGCCAGATTTTGTAAAAAGGAATGTTTGCCTGTATACTCAGTGCACCTTTACTAAATTAATTGGAGACACTTTTATGCTTCTGTTGTGAGGACAGCCTAATATTCAATGAAAGTATTGTAATTTCCTTATATAAATGAATTAGCTACTGTAATTCCTTACTAAAATTTATCTTCAATCTGACAGTTTCTAAATGGCTTAAGAATAAACATCAGGTACTGGTATTTTAATCAGTTATCCACAAGTCATGAATTAAAAGGAACCAGGAGTTGTGGGAAAAGGCTGGGGTGTTTTTGTTCACTTTTTTAAAAAGTTGACAAACCAGGCATGGTGGTGGCACATGCCTTTTAATCTCAGTGCTTGGGAGCCAGAGGCCCCAAGGCCAGCCAGGGCTACATTGTGAGACCCTGTCTCAAAAAAAGTTCAAAACAGAAATTTCAAAATCTACTTGAAGCCATGCATACTGGCACACACTTGTAATTCCAGCACTCAGGAGGCTAAGCAGGAGGATCCCGGGACTCAGATCAGACCCTCTCTTGAAAAAGCAACTTAAAGCCGGGCATGGTGGTGCACACCTTTAATCCCAGCACTTGAGAGGCAGGTAGATCTTGAAGCTCCAAGCTAGCCTGATCTACATAGCGAGTTCCAGGGCAGCTGGGGTTACAGGGACCCTGTGAGACCCTGTCTCAGAAAGCGAAAAAAAAAAAAAAAAAGAGAGAGAAAAGCAAATTAATGAAATCAGTTTGATTTATAAAGTCCTCTTGAGTTTTTTTCTAAACCTGAAATATTGTAAATGGTTATCTCCCCCAAGAAAAGACATGACATTTTAAAGGTTAATTTCTTTCTGATTGAGCTTCCTCAGGTCAAGAGGCCTAGGCCGGGCATGCTTTAATCCCACACTCAGGCAGGCAGATCTCTGAGTTCAAGGCCAGCCTGGTCTACACAGCAAGTTCTAGGACAGCTGGGGCTACAAGGAGACCCTGTCTCAAAAAAAACCAAAAAATATAATTGTGCCTAGAATGCGCATAGTACTGGATAGTTACAGCAGATTCTAGCTTACCCAGAACTCTCTTGCAACCAGATAGCTGATGAGGAGACATTAATGTATAGAAACTATAGTATGAACAAATGGGGAAAAGGAAAAGTTAGTCACGTTAAATAATTTTACTGTACATGTAATATGAAATGTGGAAATGTACAGCTAGCTGACTGAGCTGGCGGCCTAAGGAAGGTCTCTTTGTAACAGTAAACAGAAAAGCAGCATCTTTATCCAGAACTGTTACAAGTGTAAGGCTGTATATTATCTGTGGCTTTTGGACTTGTATTCTGTGTACATTGGATCTGCCTTGTGTGACATCTCTAAAACACCAAAACCAGAGTATCTTAGGTGCTTAGAACTGACAACCTTAGAAGTACAGGACAGAAGCAGCAGTAGTTTGTTTTTGGTTTTTTGTTTTTTTAAAAAAGGAAATGACCTGTAGGAAAAAAGCATCCACATTCTTCCCAAATATTAGAAATGTGTATTGTCTTGAAAAAGTCTTTTCCCAGTAGCTAGGAAAAATGGATACCTTCTGCATTGAATCCATGTAGCAACCTGGAGGGGAGGAAACAAAACAGGGATGTATTGAAAAGCCAACTTTTGACACACATGTGTACCAGTAAGTCTAACATACATACACTGCATACTTACACATCTACTTACTCCTAACACTAGTCATTAAAGAAACCTTATTCTCCAACCAAAATTTCCAAAGTATTCCTTGGTTAAAACGGTCATGGGCCAGGCGTGGTGGTGCACACCTTTAGTCCCAGCACTCAAGAGGCACAGGCAGGTGGATCTCTGTGAGTTCAAGGCCAGCTGGGGCTACAAGGAGACCCTGTCTCAAAAAGACAAAAAAACAAACGTCATATTGATGCCTCTCTTATTTATTTATTTTTTGGTCTCTTTGAGACAGGGTCTCCCTATAGTCCTAGCTGGCCTGGAACTCACAGAGATCTGCCTGCCTCTGCTTCCCCAGTGCTGGGATTAAAGGCGTGCGCCACCACACCCGGCCCTGATGCCTCTTTTCTAAACTACTGGCTTAAACTATTTTTGATTAGACTAAAGTTACCTTACAAATTTTCGCTATCCTGACCTCAGCTCATCACTTGCTCCATATCAGCTCATCACTTGCTCCATATCAGCATGATTAGCTAAACAAGAAGCTAGCTAGAATTTGAGACAAAAAGTCAGTCTTCACATGCCTATTCTCTGGGCTGTTACTATTTTACTTTAGTTATTAGCAAACTGTACCTTGAAGAAAGTAATAATGAAGTTTTTAAAAAATGAGGTATTTGTTTGGACCTGATGATTTTTGAGGCTGGCCCATAAGAAGAAGCCCAAATAAATTAAAAATCCAAGTGTAGGTACTTAGAAATAGTATTCAACTTCTAGGATTAACATCTGGTAAAGTAATATATGCCTGCTAGGGAGCCCACAAATCAAACTTCATTTGTCTTAGTTAAATAAAACTTACACTGAAAAGTCAAACCAATGACTTACATCACTCTACCCTCACTAGAACACAAATGCTTTAAAAATAGACTGGCTAACCTGGGCAAGTCCCTCTGCTTGTTGGGAGACCAACTAGTTCTGAACTAAACTGCCCAGCCTACATCATGGAAAGTTACACAGCTACCTAACTACCTATAAAAGATATCTGATTGCCCCTGCTTACTGCTGTTTCTCTGCTCCCCCCAGAGACAGGCTTGTTTGCTCTCAAATAAACTGCTCTCAAATAAACTGCTGCCACTCCCCACTAAGTAAATAAATAAATAGGGACACAGCCTAGTAGAATACTCATCTAGCATGTGCAAGGCCCTGAGTTCAGTCCCCAGCAATGTAAGAAAATTGTACTGACTAAAAATGTCCAGAACTTCTGAAAGTTATTCATGAGTAAAAACAATACAAGGTTGTCCACTTGGGTCATTTATTGAAATCTGCTTAGTACAAGTAAAACTTTGGTCTGAATTGTCCACGTATAATGATCCTTTTAACAAGAGGTATAAAATCTGCCTTAACTACAAAACAACTATTACTGAATGGTTAATCAGGTATGGTTATAAACTGAATGTTTATGATTAACATCTATTTAACAGTAGCTATTCCAAGTAAGGAAACAAAAGAACCATCAAATCCAGCTTGCATGTGTTAGGATTTTTCAACCTTTTTGGGCTACTCTGAAGAGATAAGCTATTAAGATTCAGACCATGAGTGTGCACTGGGGATTGGCACAGAGGAGAAACATGTGCACCAAAGCACGCATTAATTAACCCAGGCGATCTTCTGGTGTAGACTGTTCTTGAAACATTCATAGCTAACTAGCCTACATCATCTTTACCATGCCATAGAAGAGCTATGCAATTACTCTCCCACATAGCACCTTATACTACTTAAAAGCCTTTAAGTCTCCAATCTGAAGATACCAGTAAAGAAATGTAAACATTTAAAAAAAAAAATGTAATTACCTGATAAAGTCATCTATGTCCATGGAACGGGCCCGTTTGTCACTAAAACCCGTACTGGTTAGGATTTGCTGTATTTTATCTGCTATGCTGAAATCTTCTGGTATAACCTATCAATGAGATTCAGAATAAATGTACAACATCTTTAATGAAGACACCTTGGCTATTTCTTTTTTAAAGATTACAAATCCTCTTTATAAATGACAGCTGGGAAAACCTATGTTTGGCTAATTAGGACTTAGATTTCTAAGAAATTAAGAGGCTGATTTTTGACAGAATACTTTGAGCAATACCTTGTCATATATATTACTCTTTTTCATCTTTAAAAATCACAAAACAACCAATTTTTTAAAGCAATTATTGATCTTTTCAGAAATTACATATTTTGGTCATAAATTTCACCTACCCAGCTATGTTTCTCAGAGATAACTTCTCTCATCCTTAAGCATGTTAGGTGGTGGTCACACCTGTGATCCCAGCACTCGGGAGGCAGGAGGATCACCGTTAAGTTCAAGGCAAACCTGTGTTTTGTACTTGATTCACACTTTTCCATTAAAGATTTTTCTTAATCCAGTTTATTATTATTTTGGTGTTTTTTTTAAGACAGGGTCTCCCTGTAGCCCCAGCTGGCCTGGTACCCACTGTGTAGACCAGGCTGGCCTTGATCTCACAGAGATCCACCTGCCTCTGCCTCAGGGAGTGCTGGGATTAAAGGCATGCACCCCCATGCCTGGCTAGTTCATTTTTTTTCAATTTAGGCTGATCCGTAATGGCTTTTGCCCATAGTAGAGAATGGAGATAGTAAGTGTACTGAGAGAGATGGGCCATAAAAAATACAAAGGAGCTGGGCATGGTGGTACACACTTGTAGTCCCAGCACTCAGGAGGCGGATCTCTGTGAGTTCAAGGCCAGCCTGGTCTCCATAGTGAGTTCCAGGACAGCTGGGGCTACAGGAAGACCCTGCTTCAAAAAAAAAAAAAAAAAAAAAAAGAGATTGGTCTTAGTCTGCTTTGTTAAAGAGCTGAAAAACCAACAAATATTGTATACATGTGTATAAGAAGACTCCCACCCTGTCTAAAGGAAATTTGTTAAGTGGCACGAGGCTCACAACAGGAAATGATCTTTTCAGCCTATACTTACTGTGATTATTTAAATTTCCAGATGTTGAAAAATTACAAACAAAATAGTAACTTTAAAAATTATAATTACTATCCTGCTGTGGTGGCATACATGCCTTTAATCCCAGCACCTGGGAAGTAAAGGTAGGAGGATCAGCAATTCAAAGTCTTCCTCAGCTTTACAGTTTACAGCCTGGGCCACACGAGACCATGTCTCAAAACAAATGGTGATGGCTATCTGAGCAATAGATGGGGTAGTAACCATTCAGGTTAGCAAATTATAGTCATACACAGTTATTTTAAGCCAAGCAAGCTACACATCTGTATCACTGAGTAAACTGTAACTCAGCTGAATCCCATTCTTGTTAGTGTAACCAAATGTTAAAAGAGGCCATGGTCCACAGAATACATAGCAACACTAACCTATTAAAACTTAGCCAAGCAGGTGGCTCACACCTCCATTCCCAGCACTGAGAGACTGAGGAAGACTACTCTGAGTGTGACCTCAAACCCAGCCTGAGCTACAGAACAAGACCATCTCAAAAACAAAACCCTGTGCTAGTTACAAAATAGTTACACTATTTTAATGTTCCCCTTTGTAATAGTACACAAATCCCTTAAAGGACAGAAGTGATTTGTACTCACAGTATTATGGACCGAACAGTGAATTCTGTAATTTTTTTCCAACAGTTGTTGTACTGCACTTGATCTGTAAAGTTATGTCACAATTACAAAATCAGAGACTAGGTAAAATTTCATTTCAGTTTAGACAAGATTAATGTATGTTCCATCCAGTGAGATAGGTCAGCAGGGAAAGGCACTTGCCACTAAGCCTGATGACTTTAGTTCACTCCCCGGAACCCACATGATGGATGGAAGAAGAGAACCAATTCTGCAACTTGTTCTCTCTATCTCTGTGTCTGTCTCTCTAAACGGTAAAAAAATAAAATAAAATTAAAGTGTGTGCTCCATTTGATGAAATTCAGAAATTTTTAAAAGGTACAATCCTTTTCTTTAAATAAGACAAATTCCACACTGCTTTAAAAAGACAGATTCGGGGCTGGAGAGATTGCTCAGTGGTTAAGAACACTGGTTCTTGCAGAAGACCTGGGTTTGAATCCCAGCACCCACATGGCAGCTAACAACTGTCTATAACTCCAGTCCCAGGGCTGACAGCCTCTTCTGACCTCCATGGGCATTGCACAACACAGGTCCACTTACCTACATGCAGGCATTACGCACATACACATAAAATAAAAATAATAAATAAATATGCACACTTTGAATATAGCTAATAGGACACACACATAGACAAAGGAAAATTCCCGAGTCATCCACATCAAAGTAAGGATATGCCACATAAGGCAAGGATATGTATTTGGAGGATAAAAGGAGAGAAGCAAGAAACAGAAAAGGCAAATAAATAAATAAATAAATAAATAAATAAATAAAAGATTCTATTCCCAGGCCTACATGGCAGCTAACAACCATCCAAAAATCCAGTTCCAGGGGAATCCGCTCTCTTCTGACATCATGGGCATTTCATGACATGGGTGCGCTTAACATATACGCAGGCAATACACTTACACTCATAAAATGAAAATAAATATTTTTAAAAAAAGGTTCTCAAAAAAAGGTTCTCATTATGTTTCTCAGTCTGGACTCAGGAAACTCCCAGGCTCTAGGGATCCTCCTGCCTTAGCTTCCCAAGTTTCTGAGCCTACATATTAGGTACCTTCCACCTACAAGCTTCTTAAAATCTAAAGACAGTTCTTAGACCCTCCACAAAACACCCGCTTTAAAAAAGAAAATACTGGTCCTGGCTATAACACTAGCTGCTGGGAAAGCTTAAAAGCAAGATGAGGGTTGGGGAAATAGCTAAGTACTTGCCTACATTTGCAAGGCCAAAGGCTGAACCTTAGCCAAGGCAAATAAATATCTACAAGCCCTCTAAAATCAAACCTCACCACTTTTATCCTTGGACCCCAAGTTGTGTCGTACTTCGCAAAGTTATTGATAGCACAAGGGCCAGAAAGATGGCTCAGTGAGTAGAGGCACTTGCTATGCAGCCTGATACCTAGGGTTCCATCTCTGGAATCCACGTAAGGGTGGAAGGAGAGAATCAAATCCACAGTGTTGTCCTCTGGCCTCAACATGTGCACCATGGCATGTGCCCTCTCACCCTCAGTAAAACGTGAAAGGAAAAAAAAAGGTATATTATTATTTTTCCTGTTTTGCAAAGAAAATCCTGACTTGACCCACAACTCTATTATATTCTGCTTCTCAAAGTACAAAACTAGTTTAAAAAATGAAGCTTGTCTAAACATAAATCATCTTTGCACTTTAAGGTGGCTGTTGGTGTTATGAGGCCAAATACTACGACAGTATCTGGAATTGGTCATTCACCCATTAGAAACTTACTTGAACACTTACTTGAATGCAGCAGACAGTGTCTTGTTTTTCCGAACAAACGTGATCCTTACTAAGCCATCCCATTCCTGAAATATAAGATGGATGTTTTCTTCAAAATAACAAACTTCTAGCCAAGGCTTGGTGCCACATACCTTTAATCTTAGCACTCGGAAGGCAGAGGCAGGTTTGCCAGTCTGGTCTCAATAGCGAGTTCCAAGCCAGCTGGGACTATAGGGAGACCCTATCTCAAAAAAGACAAAACAAAAAAACCAAACTTCTCATCTATGCATGCTCAGTATACTCTTTTAATACTTAAAACCAGAGGAAATCAGTAGTCAGGAAAATGGCCTACATCTTGATCTAGCTAGCACACTTGACTTTTGTACTTGTGTGAATCTCACTGAATAAATTATTTTTTAATTAGAAAAATATGTAAAATTGTCTCCATAAACAACATGGCATTAATTAGGATCACTTTCAAAAATTAAGACGGAAGCCAGGCATAGTGATACATGCCTGTAATTCCAGCACTTAGGGTAAGGAATTAAAGTCATCCTCCACTACATTTGAGGTGGATTTGAGGATAGCTTTAAGTCAATGAGACTCTGCCTTAAAAAAAAAAAAAAACGGAAAGAAAACGGGCTAGACAGATGGCTCAGCAGGTAAGAGCACTGGCTGCTCTTGCAGAGGACCCAGGTTCAGTCCACATTGCAGCTAACAACCATCTCAAATTCCAGAGATCCAATGCCTTCATCTGGCCTCTGCAGGCATTGTATGCACAGATGCACTTACATGCAGGCAAAACACTCATATGTATAAGACTGAATACATAAATCAAAGCACAGACATGATTGAAGACACAGCCTCCACAACATTCTTCTCTAATGTGACTAGTAGTTTTCTATCAAGTAGCATAGATTTTTTTTTTTTCCTATCACAAAATCAGTAATTTTTTCTCTTTTTCTTTTGGAGACAGCGTTTCCCTGTAGCCCCAGTTGGCCTGGAACTCACTATGTAGACCAGGCTGGCCTCGAACTCACAGAAATCCACCTGCCTCTGCCTCCCAAGTGCTGAGATTAAAGGCATGGGCTACCATGCCTGGCAAAACCAGTAATTTTTATTCAAAAATTTTTGCCAAAAGTGCTGAGGGATGTACCTTGTTGGCAGAGTAGTTTCAGTATGCATGAGGGCTTGGGTTAGACCCCCAGCACCACCAAAATAAGAAAGCATTCTCACAACATTACTCCAACACAGCTATTTCAATTTCACACTGTTTCCCAAGTTTCATTCAAATAGACAAGTTTTCCACATGTCTTCTAATGGTTTTTGCCTTTTGCAAACATTTTCATGTTTTTGTGTAGTAGTCTTCACAACTACTTTACATCGTTATTACCATCTGTTCCATCATTAAGGATGTATAATAATTCACATTTCCTATGTTTGGACATTTAGATTGACTCAATATTGTTCTGCTACTGTACAATAACATTTTCCAACCAGGATTTTTTTTCCCTTAATGGCCCAGTATTTTAGCCTCACCTGAAAGTTGATAGGTGGTGGTGGGTTCCTAGGTTCTATCCTTACAACACTGGATTCCACCTTGGGTGGGGGTCTGAAGTTATTCTTCCCAACCTATTAATCAGAAAATGTTAAGTCTTCTCAAAGGCAACTTAAAAAAAAAAAAAGCAACTTTTAATTAGTAATCAAAAATGTTCTCTTAGGGGCTAGAGAGATGGCTCAGTGGTGGCTCAGTGGTTAAGAACACTAGCTGTTCTTGCAGAAGACCTGGGTTCATATCCTAACAACTGTACATAACTCCAGCTCCAGGGGATCCGACAGCCTCTTCTGTCCTCCATGGACACTGCACGACACGGGTGCACTAATTAAAATAAAGGCAATGCAGTCATACATATAAAATAAAAAATAGAAAAAAAATTATTAGTTAAAGGAAAACACACATCAATAGTTATATTTAATGGTGAAAAACTCAAAGCTTTGTCACAGAAATCAGGGACAAGTCACAGATGTTCCTCTCATAAGTACCTTTTAACATCTACTTGACTGATGTAAAAGGTTCTCTTAGCTGACCATGGTAGCTCATACCTATAATTCCAGCATGTGGGAAGTTGAGGGTTCCAGGCCAGCCTGAGTTAAAAAATGAGGCGATCCTGTCTTTAAAAGAGGGGAGGAGCTCACACAGAAGGCAAGGCCAGTTGTGTTGGGGACCCCTGCTGTTTGGGTCGCAGCCCAACGTGACGGCTCCTGGAACGCGCAGCAGAGCCCCGCCAGCCAGCAGCTGGTGCCCGAACGTGTGGCTCCTGGAACACGCAGCAGACCCACGTGCCAGCCAGCAGCTGGCGACCAACGTGAATTCGTGAGTATCCCTTCCATCAGAAGGGCACCAGCAATCCCTTTCTCCTATCAGGAGTGCAGAGTCCACCCAATCAGGGGGACATCATGAGCAGCGGGCCCCGCCAGCCAACAGCTGGCGCATCTCTCCCACCAGGAGAGCAGCAAAAATCTCTTTTTCCTTCATCTCCCATCAGGAGATTAAAAGGCAGCTGTGCCTTTAAGCCATCCCCACCTTAGCAGGATCGAAAATCTCTCTTTCTTTCATCTCCCATCAGGAGATTAAAAGGCAGCTGTGCCTCCAACCCACCCCACTTGTGGGGCCTGGCAGTCTCTTCTATTTTCCTCCTTGTATTTTCGGTCTAGGTCTTCGCATGAGAACGTTAATGACAAAGTAGCAACTGAGGCTTTCTGGTCAAGGCTACTCCTTGAAGTCAGCTGAAGGCTCTTTGCTTTTTCAGGATTCGTGAGTATCTCTCCCACCAGGAGAGCAACACAAATCTTTTTTTTCCTTCATCTCCCATCAGGAGACTAAAAAAGGCGGCTGTGCCTACAAGCCTCCCCACCCGTGGGGCTTGGCGAATCTTTTTTTTCTTTCATCTCCCATCAGGAGACTAAAAAGGCAGCTGTGCCCCCAAGCCTCCCCACTCGTGGGGCCTGGCAAATCTCTCTTTCGTCTCCCATCAGGAGAATAAAAAGATAGCTGCGCCCCCAAGCCACCCCACTCATGGGGCCTGGCCGTTTCTCTTTTCTCTTTTCCTCCTTCTAAAATTAAACTTCCCTAATTGGTTTTGTTATCCTGCCCCCCAGGGCATGCAAGCCACAGCTAAAACCAGTTAGGTGAGAATTTAAATTAACTAGCCCCTGCGGAGATAAACAAACAAACAAAAGATTTTAAAAAGCCATTTTTTTTTCTGTAGACCTTAAATCTGCAGCCAGGCTTGTGCCTGTCAGAGCGTTCCAATCCCCTGGTGTCAGACTGCGCCAGGAACATTAAGCGCTAGACAATACTATTTTCCTTTTATAATGGGTAATTCAGCATCACACCAGAAAAAACTCCAAATTCGCTCCCTTAAAGCCCTGCTTAAATCAAGAGGACTTAAGATCTCCCAAAAAGAAAGCTCAAAATTTTGGAATGAAGTATATCAATTTGCAACCTGGATCCTGTCAGCAGACATCTCTGATCCAGAGGTCTGGAATAACATTGCATATCTGGCTCGTAAAAAAGAAATCCAGGAAAGGCATAATTTTCCCCTTTCCTTTTTCCCCATAATGGCAGCCATCCAACAATGCTTAAAAAACCCACCTAAGATTGAGGAAAGCTTACAAGCACCAGAAAATAATAAAGAGGAGGGTTCCAACGATAAAAAAGACCCTAAAGATTTCCCAGTAGCAGA